CTGGCTCCCGTAGGGAGCCTATACAGGAACTCTACGCTACTCTAAAGCCCCTTGATAAAAGCGTTTTTTTACAAGTACCGCCAACCATTGTTGTGGAAGCGCGCGAGACACGTGCCATGAGCGGGTGCTCCGCCGCCATTCGCTTCCAAGGCCCGCTCATTTCAGTGCTGCGCCGCCATTTGCTTCCAAGGGCCGCTCGAGACATGGGCCTCGTGCACTCGCGCATTTGACGCTACTTGCAAGACAAACGCAAACACATCGAGGGGCTTTACGCTTCTCTGCTCCGAACAGACCCAGACGACGTTGCGAGCAGACGACGTTGCAAAGGAGCAGACGACGCTCAGATAGGGGGTCGCGATCAGCCAATCAGGGCTCAGCGTTCTGACGTCACCGCTACCCCCTGCGCAAGAAGCAGACGAACTTGCCCTCCGCATAGCATTTCATTGCAAAGCCCCCTACATCGTCTAAACCGGAAAACTCGTCTGTAACCACACATAATGAGTTGAGTAACCGATTACTTGTACATTTTATTATAAGTTTTAACACTTCAATTACTTTTTTCTGCGGTAACGTTCACTGTAATTCAATTACTATTGTTCTGTAATCAATTATGTTTCCAAAAGAGCTATAATTATTGAGTTTTTTTATGAGAAAGGTTGCTCTGTCTGCCTGTGCATTATTCGTCTATGTTGCACCAACGTTGGACACTTTTTTTGGCTCCTAAACAACAAAAAAAAAGATACCAGAAGAATTAGAATGTGAAAGTGCTCAGCGACGTTTTGACATGGCACGAGTGCCTCTTTTCCTGTGCACGGGTTATTAGGATTAGGGGTGTCGCGAACTTTTGTCGAACCGGATTTTTAGGTCGAACTTAGGTCGAACCGGTTCGACTGGGTTGAACCGGTTCGACGAACCTTCGAAACGTTTCACCAGATTCGACCGGTTCGACTTTGTGGACAGTGTGGCCAGGCCTTGATGCAAGCATGTCTAGGTTTGAAGAACTTTTTTTGTGCAAAGGGTTGTTTTATTTTATGAACAGTTGCAATTAAAAGAAACCAATTCTAATCACTGAAGAAGTTAATAACTTAATTTTTTGTACACTATTAACTTAAATAACGAATCAACGCTGCCCTTGGTTCATCCCTTAGCCATCAGCATCCAATCCGAAGCCAACTGGCCAACCTCTCGCGCATGCGCACACGAGTCGAACCTCGTACAAGGTTCGTCGAAATTTCCACTAAAAGTTCGAAAAAGTAGAACCTGGTCGAACTCGAACCTCGGCCGGTTCGCGACACCCCTAATTAGTATCCAGGTTTGCCACGGCATAGACGCAAGTGTTCTGCACTGACCTCATCTTGGTCGTGATCTAGCCACAAGAAAGACCCCCCCCCCCCCCCCCCCCCAATTCCCTCTCGAAAAAGAAACAAAATGTAACCATTTTGAACATATACATGCATTTTTGATTTCGTATAATAAATTAAAAAGTCGTGTGAAAAGACTGTGATGCAGTAATTGATTACTGTAATCAGTTACATTTTTCAATAAAGTAATCGCAACTGTAATCGGTTACTTCTTTTCAGTAATGCGTACAAGACTGTCTGTAACACAGCAATTTGGCTTCTGTCTTTATCGCACGCATGCACAGGTTGCTCTCCGTGTGTCTCACTTGGCTTTGCTCCAGTCCTCATTGTGCTAATGCACAGATCGTAGGTCGCTCCACATGTGCTCCATCACACGAGGGGTGGTGCCATACGTAATTGTAATTTATTTGCACGAGAGATGGGAGCATCATGCCGGCGTGCAAGACTAGTCAGAGAGGGGGTTATACAACCCTTACATTGTCCCGATAAATAAGCTTGCATCAGTTGGCTCCACTCTACGACAAAAGCGAGACATCCGCTGCAAGTGCTCCAGTCTTGACATGCCTTGCAAGAGAAAGGAACCGACTTATGAGGACATTGCTGAACAAAAGCAGCAGCACACCGAGGCTCAGTGTCCGCCGTGCCAATCATGGCAACAGCATATATGCCACACCTCGTTTGAAGGCAGAACGCCATTTCTCTGTTCCGGTGTCTCATTGGCAATGTTACATCTGTAGCAGGTAAAGAAGTATGAAGACAGTAGAAGCAAAGAAACAAAGCATCTTTGCTGAATAAAAATGTGCACAGATTTGATGCTCAGTTACCAGCTACAGGGTTCGTCTTAATTTATTCAGCAGAATATGGTCTCGATTGAAGTAATGTCCCATTCTGACGTAGTCCACAGCAAAGCACTGCAGAAACACTTACGTTTTTATCTATTAATCAGAACAGCTTACGATTGAAACCGTGCCTTTTAAATAAATGGTGAAGTGCAAGACTTGGCAATCCAGCGCTAGCTTTTTCAACAGTTTAGAGCCCACCGCGCAAATGTCGACGCGGGCCGGCTCGCCTCCGTGCAGCGGCGCTCGCAGACTGCGAGATTTTTGAGAGCAAGGGGGAATTTTGCTCTTGCATCGCGATTACGCTCGCCTTAATAACAAAGTAGCGCAAAATAGCGAGAACGAAGTTCCCTTTCGCTCTCAAAAATCTGTCAGCGACTGCAGACAATAAGAGCACCGCTGCACAGAACCGAGCCCTCGCGCGCGGCGTGCACTAAACTTTTGAAAACGACTGTACATGAAAGGAACTAATTAAGCAGCACACCACAACTCTGGTTATAGTTTCCACCGGTTATTCTTCACTTACTACTTTCTTTATAGAAATTATTTTTCCTTTTGTCATGCTACCCATGACGTGCACAAAACATTAAAAAAATATCTAGTGAAGTGCACATCATTTGCTTACAGGTATGGCATCCAAACATACTTCAGTCAAGTGAATACTCATCTTGCAGATTTGCAGGAGAGCTTTTTCCCGCAACCTTCAAAAGGCCGGTGAGCTTTCTCTACTTAAAACGGTCATGCTGCGAGATTTTCGCTGCCAACTGTAATAAGCATGTCGCTTCACGCCAGACATTCATGTTGAGAAGGAACTTGCAGGAAGCAAGCTCCAGGACGACCTTCAGTCGATTGGACAAGGAAAAAAAAAATATATTCGGTGAACCTCGTGGCAAAGGTGTCGGTTGTGAACCTGAGAGGAGCTGCTTGCATGGGCTATGACAAGACCCACTCAGATAGGCTCCCATAGACCGAAATTACAAGAGACGAGGCAATTTTTCCTGACCCCCCCCCCCCCCCTCTTTTGCTACTCATACGTGCAATTTCACTCGTTTCTCGACTTTATCCACCAATTTCGCAAAACTGTAATATACCCTCTCAAAACCTATCATCTTCATCGTCACCAGGAAGCCTTCCAAGGCTTCAGCTATGTCTGCTACCTGGAGGGTAGGAGAAGGCCTCCCAAATTTGAATAAAAACGTGTTTTGTGGGTGTTCCTGGCTGCTCATCTATGCAACATAATTTTCACTCACCACAATACTACTTAGGTTAGAGACTTGGCAGGATACAGAACCCCTGCCGACGTTCATCTCGGAAGAGGGGCAATCTCTCCCTCCACTTCCCATCTCCCTAACAGTTTTGAGGGTACTGCAAAGATCCTCCATACAGTTCAAAAAAAAATTTTGTTTACTGAACATCAGATCAGTCACATGGAAGAAAAATGTCTCTATCCTGACCAGCTAGTTTTGCTACCCAGGCACCGGAAGCCATAGGCACCTTTTGGCTTCCTGTCCCTGTACCGTTTCATGGTACAGGGAAGGGAAGCCGCAAGATTACGAGTGACCTTTTCTGCCTTTGCCCTAATAGTGCAAACAAAAGATGCATAAGAAAAAAATATGTAAAGATCACCCATTAGAGATAGAGGAACAAATTTCAGCCACCAAAGATGAAATAAACTACTAAGGTAGCAAGTTGGGCTAGCTGGTAAACATTGTACAGTCGGGGACAAAAGTCCCCAGCACGCGCGAGCTGCGACTGAAATAAAGTCCCTCGATGTTTTTTCACGCATTGCTCTGCCATCTGCCGGCAGGTCGCCTGGTTTCGAGATCACACAATAGCGCATGCGCGTCCTACAGTGACGTCGCGCCGCTTCTTCGCTTCTTCCGGGCGCGCACAAGAAAGTTGGATAATTTCAACTTCTTCTCAACGCGCACAAAAACGCGCGGTGACGTAGTAGGGCGCTCCTGTGTCCCGGCCAATCGGTGGAGGGCAAGCTAGTTCCGGCTCCGCGTTTCTCGCCGTCTGGCTGCCCTCTCCTCTCTCCCTTTTATTCTCTTCCAACATGACAACGCGATCTCTCTCTCTCTTTCCCTCGCCGTCTGGCCGGCCAGTCTGTCGCAGTTGCACTTTGCTTGTGCGCTCGTGCCTGCGTGCGCGCTCGCCCGAAGTTTCGCCCGTCCAAACCAAAGCGCACGGTTCTGACTCAGAAAGCGCGCCCGGAAACAGCAAAAACTTCACGAAATGCGTTACATCCGCAGCCGCACGACCTACAGGCGCAAAAAGAAGCGTTGGTTTGGATCGCGCTTTATACCGCCTCGGAGATAGCGCTTGCGGCTGACGGGCGTCTGCTACGCATTGCGAAACTGGAGATACCGCCTGCGGCATTGCGCCGCATTTCGCCGTGTCAGCGCATCTTGCTTTATAACCAGCTAAGCTTATCGCTCAGTTGAGCAGCCGTGACTCCTTGCTTCATAGGTGCCATGTCAGTAAGCGCCATCTCCGAGGCGGTACCACGCGCCCGATTCTGAGTTAGGCGCCGCGACGCAGAAAAGCGGGAAAACACACATGCTTGCAGGCACAGGGCGCGCATGCGCTTTTGTATGATCTCGAAACCAGGCGACCCGCCGGCAGATGGCAGAGCAATGCGTTTCAGTCGCAGCTCGCACGTCTTGGGGACTTTTGTCCCCGACTGTACATGACAGGGATAAACAGCTCAGTAAATGGAGACATCTATGTTTACAGAGCTTTTTATCCCATTATGCACATAAATGGCAAGTTCAAAGCAATAAAAGTGACCTGAAGATTGCATAAAAACCACAATTTATTTGTTCACACTCAGACCAGTTGTTGAGTTCATAGCTACATAGCTTACTACACTATGAAAATGTTCGTACAAAATTTATCGACGATGCACGCTTCACAGTAGAATGAGACGGTGAAGAGCTCTGCAGACACCAGGATGAATGCAGGCTCTTGACAGAGTCTCATACTGGTAGGTATGTTGTCTGAGATTACTAGTATCTGCATTGCTCCAGCACTCCGCTATGTCAGCAACCTAGCACCTGAAGCAGACGTGCACTACTATCACTGACATACATGCAACACCACTGTTTTCAATTGCGGCACTTTGAGACAGGAGTCCCAAATGCCTCCACTACAAACATTGAAACTGTCATTTGCTTTTTCTGTCTTCAGCACTAAAAATAATGTATTTGCAACATTTACAACCCCAAATTAAGAATAGTTGTCCAGTCAAGTAAACAAAACTTCACAGGTAAGAAAATTAAAACATGTCAAAGACATCGTAACACTTGAGTCGATGTGAAGAGCTGTCTGTAAAAAAGAGGCTGAAATGTTTGCGATACGACAAAATGAAGAAAGTTTGGACTACATCACTTGCACAAGTTTGGCATCCATGGGTACCACAGCCTCAAATGCATTAGGTTGCCGCTCACCACTGTTTTCTGTAGCTTCATCGTCCACTAAGGGTCAAGTTAAGTAACCGATTCCTGCTGGACTTTTTAAAGTAAAAAGTCTATAGCATGTTTCCACAAACTATCACAGCATGTCAACAAAACTGTCATACAAAGGTTCATGGAAACTGTACACAGCAAAAATAAGGACTCTATCAAAGAACTTGTCTCATGCCTAACTTTTGTTCGTCCGCTCTCCTGCCACTTTGAGCAAAAGAAAATTCCCGAGAACAGGCGCACAACCATCAGCACATTGTGGTAATGGAGATGGGTTCTCTCAGAGCTTTATGTTCAAACAATATTGGAACAAGGTAGTAGTAGTCAGATGAGCAACTTGAGAAAGTCTTGTTATTAAAGTACAATATTAGGAAAATAAAAAAAAATGAAAAATGAAACTATAGTAGTATCTTAAAAAAGCAAACAGTACAATGTTCCAAGTGCTAATCGGCCTAATATGTCATCACATTTCATTAAAAATTAAGCAAATGTGTAATATCATATAGTAATGCACATTTAGTACATCACATGTGCTACAATACAACCTCCAGTTAGCAAGCACCCTTCTGTTGTCATCACTGAATTCTGATCTAATGTAATACATCACTGTCACTTCATTATCTATACTCTTAAAAATCTTAGGCAAACTGGTAATCTCATTTGCTCACATCTGCTCAAACAAAAAAATCGTTGAAACAGTTCACATCAATCATTGACACCCAATGAAAGGAAACTTCCCATATTTTTTAAAATAGAAAGTGTAGAAAACCCGATGGCCTTGTTAAGGATGATCCACATTATCAGTGTTCTAAATTCAATTGACCATCGTTGCTTTTCACAACATTCACAACAGCTTATTTCATTTAGTTGTTGATTTTGACATCTACCTAGCTCCTCATCATGTTCATGTGTCAAGGTGGAAGATACACATAACTATGCTGCATGTGAAACTGTTTCTGCAGTATTACCCAAGATAGGAAGTTGGGTTTAAATTCTGCTTGCTTGGTCACAAGAGCAACGTGTTTCTATTGAGTGAACACTTTACCCCGTTGAACCAAGAAGTGCAACAATGCACTCCTCTGTTCTACAAACCAGGCAGACACAGTTGAGACCAGCTTGTGATTCCGAGAGTAAAGCATGAAATCCCTTCACAAGTCACGCAAATGTTAAAACACGAATCTTTAGACATTTGTAAAACATTTCATGCACTACTACTGATATCTCTAGTCTAAAAATATCAAAATCAGTGCATATGGAATGGCAGATCCTTTCAGGTCAATAGTTGCCATAAACAGCTACTCAAGTCAAACCTGTGTTAGAGTCACTCTATTGCGGAACCGGGTTTGTTTCTTTGGATTCGTTGCCCTCCTAAAACAACCAAGCAATTTCAGTTATGGCAGTCATTTGGTGAAGTAGGGCAACATCAAACTAGTAGAAATGATCAAGCCTTATTTTTGCAGAAACGTTAGCCACCATCACGATGATCACCATCTGAAATACAGTACCCTGTTCCAAAATACAGTGGCCCTGTATGTTCATACACACAAGAGGCACCTTGGAAGAGGAAATAAATAGAACTCACTTAGTGTTTAAACTTCTGCACTTTTACCGGTCACACATAGGTCTACAAGAATAAACGGAAAGCAACAAAACAGACATTACCAGTACACTCTTAATTCGTAAAATACATACGTCTAGTGCCAAAAAAAAAAAATTGGTTTAAAATATATCCCCACTACTATATCCTAGGACTGCACAGAGTGACCCATGTATCAGGCAATGCCAAGTAGTGCAATGCAGTAGAAAATTCCATTCAATTGGTAAGTGCATATCCCAGACAACATGCACAAAAACAATATAAAATCTGTGCGTATAACTTAGTCCAACTGTCAGTTCTACTGCAGACTATGTAAAACCAACAAGGGTACAACAAATATTAGGTACACATGTGAAAATATACAAAATGAAGCAGGGTACCCTGATGAAAATGCACATTTAAAATGAAGCTTGCAAGGAGGAAAACAAAAACTGCTCTGGCACACACGAACAAGTGGCTTCCTGGAAGACTTTCTCCCAAGAGGTCAATGAGCAACTGACAACACAAACATAAATGAAAAAGAAAACACTGCCAATTTCTTAGAAAAAACAATGATCGGCATCACACTGAGACAGGTTACACCACTTAGCTGCCACAGGGACCGGGACACAACCCATCAATGTCACATGAGCTCCAGCAGAGAAAGGAATGTTTGTTAAATATATGTGTGTGCATTTACATGCGGCACTCTGCCGTTTCTCGTGCAATAAAAAACACAAAATAGGTGTTTAAATAACATACATGATCTGTTCACTGAACCCATAGTACACAAAATGCAAGAAAGCTTTCAAACTTGCATTTAAACAGAATCACACCCAAATACATAAGAGCATTGCTTGCCTCTATGAGGAGCAAGCGAGTTTATTCTCCAAGTTGCCCCTTGTGGGTTGCGAGCGTGGCGTTCGTTGTGTTCATTATGAACTGAAGGCATTTAAAAGAAAACTGGGTTTCTGACCGGGTGGAGGGAGCACCCTGCACACTCACTTCACCAATCCAGGTGGCTACATCACTTGCGCTTGGCTTTGTCGGCTTTGCGTTGTAGCTTTTCCCGTGCCCGAAGTTCCTTCTCTTGCGCCTTACGTTCCTTGTCCAGTTGGGAACGCAGCTCCTTGATTTTCTTCTTCAGCAAAGACCGGTCACTTGTCCCCACCACCCCCAGCTCCTGTGAAAAAAACCTTTTGTGTTAAAAGTATATACTTCACTCCCAAAAAGACAACCTTTTTTTTTTTTTCGGGACTACGGTATTTGCATTCAGTCAAGAAAGACAAAAGAAAAAGAAAGCGCTCTCCCAACAGATACCATAAATAGGACTCCGTTTTCGGTGTATACATACATTGTTCATGAACCTTGGCGATGAAAAGTGGCATTTATTTCAAGCCAGCATAATCGGATCATCGGCAGGTGCCGCTTTTACGGAATTTGGTGATCCATTCCCACACCAAAATAAAACTTAAAACAGAAAAAAAAAAAAAAACAATTATTGAAATTTACAGTGCAATGCAACGTTATGAGTTGCAGCTTAATCGAAAAATTAGGGGAAAGATGCATGTCTCTCTCTCAAAGGCAACACGAAAGTTTGCACACTTTTGCGTTCAAACCGAGCGCTGCCCGACAGCAGAATCGTTGTGGAGGATACCTTAAGCCGTGCGCTGTCCAACTGCAGGAGGGCGTCGCCGTGGATTCCGTGCGAAGCAAAGCTCGGCACGTGTGCCTCCAGGCCCAGCACCACGAGCCACTGGCCCACTTGCGAGACGCTCCAACGGTCGACCGGTCCGCTCTGCCAGTGGTGTGGTCGCACTTCTTCTCGCCGCTCCCGCGATGCCACACCTGGCTCCCCGCCACCCTTCTGGCCAGGTGACGGGCGCAAGCTGCCATCGCCTGGGGAACACGCATCGCAACGGTACAGCGAGACTACCGTTGGGTACTTAATGGGCATGCTCCTGGTTTGTGCGAGCCATGGAGGTAGGAAGCTTCTGGAGGCAACATGACACCACCAGAGGTGAAGCCAGAAGTGTGGAGGGACACGCCCCCAACGATGACAAAAACTAAGAGATGCTATTGGACGAAAAGGAGAGCTGACTTGGCGCCAACAACTGTTTTGGTCACCCTCCGGGGGGCCCCCCCGAGGGTGACCAAAACAGCTCTTGGCACTGACTTAGCTCCTCTTTTCGTCCAATAGTATCTCTTGGTCTTGGTCACCATTGGGGGCGTGCGCCTCCACACTCCACACCATCAGAGGCTTCACCTCTGATGGCGTCATGTCGCTTCCAGAAGCTTCCTACCTCCATGATGCGAGCCATCGCGCCTTAATTTCCTTGAATATCAAAATTGTTAATGGATTATGCGTGCCCCTCAACAAGCTGGAATCCCAGATTTGGTTCCACTGCAAGAAAAGTCTAATGAAGTGCAGCAGTTTTGTTACGGTTAATGTGCTCATACCAGGATCAAACCTTTAACTCTTTCCTAACCAGAGGAAAAGTAGCAATTTTCAAAGGATCCATGCAAATGCATTCATTTTCCTAACTAAGTTGTGTATGAAGCAATATGACATCAAAATTTGGCCAATTAGTTGTTCTTTCAAAGGAAACTGAGATTGGTATAATGTAAAAAAAAGATTTAAAAATTTTGTTTCTTAAAAATACAATGTATTTGCAGAAGGCGTATAAACGCTGACACTTCTACAGCTATTCAAATTAAACAAATAAAAGAAAAATTCAGAACATACAAAATGTGCCCCAAACCCACGGCTCTTACTTTTTAAAGTTAATGTACTCTAACTGACGTCTATTTTTGGTTTGTCAAAGAGTTAGCCTCCGCAACACAGGCCCTTTCCAATGAAAGAATGCTTATATATTGGTGAAACACAGATAGTACTACACCTCACATCCCCAGCAAAATGCTTTCTTTGTGTTCTACCTTGGTTATGCCTAGGGTTCGGAGTTTTTGGTTTAAACCGATAAAAGTACGCCGAATCCATTTTCGGAAATTCGGTTTTAACCGAAAAAGGTCAGTTTTTAGGTTCGGCACTTTCAGTCTAAACCGACAAGAACCGAAAAAAGTAAGCCGAATTTATTCTCTAAAATTTTGTTAAAACCGAAAATGGTCAGGGGGGAGGGGGGTTTAGGGTCGCGTCGAGATGGGCGGGGGGAGGGTGGGGAAGGGGGGAGGGAAGAGAGAGGGCGTTGCCAGTCTTAGGTAAGTTACTTTTAAAAAGTAATTTGTTACAGTTAGTTACTTTAAAAAAAAGTAGCAAAGTTACCAATACAGTTACCGCAACAAAAGAGTAACTAGTTACAGTTACTTTTAAAAAGTAACGACATTACTTTTCAGTTACTTTTCTACGACATGAAAAATTTAGAAAAAAACTAGAAAACGCCGCTCACTAAGTTTTATTGCATAAAATTAAAAAGTATGCTTTTTACTTCATATTGTAACTTAGCAGCAGTTGCTTCTCGAAATTAGTGTCTAAATGTTTCGTTCGTTTGATGGTGAACACGTCCCTGCCCTTGCTAAACAGACCCCGCACAACCAGAGCAACAAGCAAACCCCGCACAAACAATAGTAAATTTTGCCTCTACTGTTAACACCACACCTAAGTAGTGGTGCAAATCAAAATACCATACATGCGCAGTGCGGATTAGTGGCGATAATCAAAATACGACACATTCGCAATGCCCTCTGTGTGCATTGTTATTTCACGGTTGACTCACCCAATTAAAAAGCGGTTGCGCAAAAAAAAAAAGAAGAACAGCCGCAACATAGTTAGTGTTTCAAGATACTAAGATGTAAGTATTCAGTCACAAAGTACAAGCACATGCATAAATATAACTAGATTTGTTTTTCATCACATCTACACGTGGCTATATTCGGGTCATGACTCGCGAGAAAGAACGCATTTACAAGTTTGTGCAAGGCCAACTTAACACTCGAAACGTCGGAACAGACAATTTGGAAAGTGCAAAGAATAGGTAGATTGTGCTTGTTCAATCATATATTATTCATAAAAGACTGGAAAGTAACGAAAAAAGTAATGTCATTACTTTCGTAGTTACCTGAGAAAAAGTAATAGAACTACAGTTACAAGTTACATTTTCATAAAGTAACTCATGTCCGTCCTTTCTCATTTTCTTCCTCAAGTTTACTACAGTTACAAGTTACCAAAAAAATAACGAAGTTACAGTAACGCGTTACTACCCAAGACTGGGCGTTGCAAGGTTCGACATTGTGTGACCTCTTCGTGATTGCCCTCTTCCAAGGTTCAACATGCAACAAAAGAGGCCTTGGATTGCCCTTCGCGGGACATCTGTGTCCTTTCTGTGGTCGGGCTGAGTGTGTCAAGTTCCTGGTCCTAAAAAAAAAAGTTTGGGTGTGGGCTAGTAGAAGGTTTTTCGCTTCATGCAGGATCTGCAGCCAGAGTTTAGTGAGTACACGAAATATGTTGTGCTTCACAACGCTGCACCGTGTCTCTTTTGATAATCACATTTCGTTGATTGGCCGATTTCGGATCACGTAGCCCCTCATCTCCTCAGCCTACCAGTGTCCAGTGTTAACGTTGAGAGGGCAATCTCGAAGTCCAGGGTCATTAACAGGAAAGAATGAATGTGGATCAACGAGGAGAACCTGGGAAAGTACAGTCGGGAACAAAAGTCCCCAGGACGCGCGAGCTGCGCCTGAAACGCATTGTTCTGCCATCTGCCGGCGGGTCACCTGGTCTCGAGATCACCCAAAAGCGCATGCGCGTCCCACTGTGCCTGCAAACTTGTGTGTTTTCTCGCTCTTCTGTGGCGAGGCGCCTAACTCGGAATCGGGCGCGTGGTACCGCCTAAGAGATAGCACTCGCGGATGACTTGCTTCTGCTACACATTCCAAAACTGGAGATACCGCTGGCGGCATTGTGCCGCATTTCGCCGTGTCAGCGCACCTTGTTTATAACCAGTTGAGTTTATCGCTCACTTGAGCTGCCGGGACTTTGTTTATAGGTGATGTCACTAAGCGCAATCTCCGAGGCGGTAACAAGCGCCCTATTCCGAGTTAGGCGCCGCACCGCACAAGAGCGGGAAAACACACATGTTTGCAGGCACAGTAGGACGCGCATGCGCTTTTGTGCGATCTCGAAACCAGGCGACCCGCCGGCAGATGGCAGAGCAATGCGTTTCAGTCGCAGCTCGCGCGTCCTGGGGACTTTTGTCCCCGACTGTATATTTGTGTTTACTGTAGCAAGATCACATAATACTAATGTACAGAAGGTGAAGTTCCATGTTTTTTAACACTGACTTGTTTGTACTTCTGTAGTTTTTTTCTTTTTTACAGTTGCACACATTTGCCAAATAAAATGGCAAATGTGTGCAAAATAAAATGTTGATTTTTTTTTTTTTTTTTAATGTATTTGTGCGGTTATTGCTTGAGGGATCACAAATATCACAGTTACAAGCATCATCTGATCCAGTGTCCGATGGTGTTTCTTTCATATTCACCGAAAAAAAAAAAAAAAAAAAGGTAAACTTTTGTAAGCATAAATATACACAAAAAAAAAAATGGAATCTTAAAATAAACATTGAAAAAAGTAAGTCGAATTTTGAGAAAATAAAAACCGAAAACGCGGAACCCTAGTTCCGCGTTTTCGGAACTAGGGTTTCGGGGATGGGGACAGTTGAATGTCCCCATCCCCCCAAGGAAAGTTTCAGCAGGCTAAGTAAGCTCACAGGGTGACAAGAGGTGGTTATCAAGCACTGAAGCACATCCAAGGTCTGGTGAACAAACAAGTCCAACTCAATCTAGTGCCTACTTTCAAACTACTTGTGTTATTCCAGGGATTGTGCAATGACAACACACGAGCAAAGGTTTGTGCACAGTTTGGGCTGACTCAGTTTGGGCTGACTCAACCTGAGAAATTACCCAAAGGTTTCAGGTCTTTTCATGCTCTGTAGTGCTCTCTTTTGGTAACATAATAAAAACAAATTCGTCTCAAAGCAAAAAAAAAAAAATAATAACCACTTAGAAAATAAATGAGGCCAGAATATCATGAAAACCAAGAAGCTTGATACTGGTTGGATGTCCAGAATTGTTTCGCCGATATTTGCACCTGGTTGCTGCAAAAGGATAAGAGGACTTTTCCTTTGTTTGAATCTGATCACCTAGGTTGCACATTATTCTAGTCAAGACTTCTATAGTTTCAACAAGAAAAAGCACTAAGGAATAGTACCTCTGCACAGAATGACTGAAGTTACTTCTAAACCTTTTTGGTCCAGTCCACTTGGCCCACTTAGAGCAGAATGCAAGAGCAGAAACCAAACTGCAAGTGTAAAAAGCACTCACGCGGCAGGCTTGGGTTAAGCTTCTTGTGCGTAAGTAGGGTCACTTTCTGAGCATGCGGGGGAGGAGTGGGAGTCGGTGACAGGCTCTGCTGTGAATCAGTGGGCGATGACAGCGAAGACAGCCGCTTGCCTGGTGGGCTCTCCAGGGAGCCGAGAGAGCCCGAGCTGTCATTGTGCCCTGCCAAGCACAGCACACATGCAGTTAGTGATCAACTAACAAAGCTGTATTTCCTATCGATCCTAGAAAGGCTCCAGATAGCCACACTTCAAAACTCCAAAACCGAACGACTACAGTGATATCTCGTTAATATGGGTGATTCCATTGCCCCATAAAAGCGTCCATAATGCGAGTTGTCCATTATAATGACAAAAAAATACATATTTATGCAGTATGTCCCCGAAAATGTTGTCTATATGGGGGGCATCCATATTACCGAGACATTAAGCGTGAAACAGATGTACGACGAAACCTTCCGATCCGAAGTGCAGACTGCCGGAATGACCTTGGGGGGCGAGGGTTTTCGTAGCATCGGAGAGCGTTGAAAACCCTCGCCTCCGACTGTAGTATTGCGCGGTCGGACATCGGATCGGACGGTTTCGTCGTACATGTGTTTCGCGCTTTACTGTAGTAGGTATAAAATCACTCAAAGGCACTTGTACCATGTTCCACTGTCATCTCTATACAGCCCGCCTGGTGGTATATATAGCCAAGGAAGGCTATACAGTAGGCTCGCGATAATTAAAACTTGGTTATTTCCAGTCTTGGGTAAATTACTTTTAAAAAGTAATTCGTTACAGTTACTTTCAGAAAAAAGTAGTGAAGTTACCGTTACAGTTACCGCAACAAAAAAGTAACGCGTTACAGTTAGTTACTTTTAAGAAGTAACGACGTTACTTTTCAGTTACTTTTTTTATAACACAAAAGAAAAATTAGGAAAAACTAGAAAACGCTTTTCACCAAGTTATTAACATAAAATTAAAAAGTGTGCTTTTTACTTCGTATTGTAAGTTAGCAGCAGTTGCTTCCCGAAATTAGTTTCTGAAAGTTTCCCTTGTTTGATAACGAACACGTCCCTGCCCTTGTTGAACAGGTGCTCGTCTAACGCGCTGGATGGGATTGCTGTGTTGTGTCGCCGGAACAGGTGTTTGATTGCCGGGTAGGCGGTGAGGCAATAGAGTGCCGTTTTCTGCGGTCAAGGTGTTAGTAGCCTCCTCCACGTCAGCAAAATACTCTCTGTACGCCGGCCATGGTAGTTTTTCTTTGTTTTTATCAACATTCACAGCCTTGGTAGCGCTAGCACATTGCTGGCTCGTTGACGGTTGCGCTGGGTTCATAGAGTCCCTGGACATATTTCAGTTTGTACCCGGCAAGCCAGAAACAAACCCCGCGCAAACAGCAGTAAATTTTGCCTCGACTGTAGACACTACACCGGATAAATGGCGCAAATCAAAATACGAAACATGCGCAGTGCGGAGTGGCGGCGCTAATCAAAACACGAAACATTCGCAGTGCCCTCTGCGTGTATTGTTGTTTCACGTTTGATTCACCCGATTAAAAAGCGTTTGCGCAGAAAAAAAAAAAACGCGAAAGAGATAGTTCTTCAAGACACTAAGATGCATGTGTTCAGTCACAAAGTACAAGCGTGTGCTAAAGATAACTACATTGTTTTCACCAAACCTACACGTGGCTATATTCGGGTCGTGACTGGCGAGAAAGAACGTATTCACAAGTCTGTGCAAAAAATAACTTGACACTCGAAATGTCGGAAGAGACAATTTGGAAAGCGCAAAAAATGGCTAAATTGTACCTCGTTCAGTGATATATTATTCATAAAAAACTGGAAAGTAACGACAAAAGTAACGTCGTTACTTTCATCGTTACCTCAGAAAAAAGTAATAGAACTACAGTTACAAGTTACATTTTTAAAAAGTAACTCGTTACAGTTACAAGTTACCAAAAAAGTAACAAAATTACAGTAACGCGTTACTACCTAAGACTGGTTATTTCATGCTGCTGGTTAATTCAAATCATTTTCAAAATTTTGGTTGCCCCGCTTTGTTTTCAATGTATTTATAAGCCGCCTGATCGAATGGTGGTTTCGTGTAATTCATACTTTTTGTTCTCGTGGCTCCGTTAAGCACTCTTCTTACCGAGTACCGGTGTATTGCAGACAAGCAACACCCGCGGAACTCGCTTCCACAGGTGTTGCTTCTCTGCAGTGCACTGGTGCTCGGCAAGAAGCGCACTCAACGGGGCTAATTAGTTCACATTGGACAACTTTTTTCTTGGATAAATAAATTTAATTTTATTTTGAGGTGTTATGTGCTGTCTAAACAGTTCACGATGGACAATATTTTAAGGAATGAATAAACTTGTCTCATACATTTCACCAATGTTTCATGTCTGGCATACTTTTTTAATGATTAGTAGGCTTGTGTAAAGGAAATCATCAAATATCAGCTTTCTATGTGTAGCCATCCATATAACAAATCCTAATTTTATCTTGAATCATGTTTAGAAGAATTTTTGATAATTCAAACAAAATTTGTGTCTTCCTGGAGTTCGAATTATTGTCACCTGAAATTCATAAAAAAAAAGTGGGGTGGGCCATGTAGCGGTGGGTAAACACGGAAAGTTGAAAAAACCGCCCAGTTTTCTGTAGATGTCTAGCATGGCTCCACAAGAAATCCATTAAACTAAAATTGATTTCATTGTTTTATGCAAGAAATGCTTATGACAGAATGTTTTACTATCACAAAGTCCGTTGCCTGCATATGCGCAATGCACACCACTCTCAGCATACAGTGCAAAAGTTTGTTCCCGGAAAGTTTGTTTCTAACACCGCTATGTTCTGTTCATTTGAAAAATAAATAAATAAAAAAAAAAGAGTCAACAGGAAAATAGAAAACCCAAGAAAACGCAACAACCGAGCGAGCGAGCGGGCGGGTGAAAGAAGTGACCAAGAGCGATGCTGGAGAAGCGGGGAAGCCGGCGATCGCGTTGGCAAATACTTTGGCGTCGGGCCAAGTTGGGAGCCTTGTCAATTACAAAGAGCAGGCTCTAGAGCAACTTTTTTGTTTGGTGCGTACATGCTTGCGTCCGAACTCGGCGTGCTATCAACACGTGTTGAGGTGGCATTGCTGCATGGCCTGGACAGCATCACGAACACAGAGCTCGAAATGGGACATCTTTACAAACGTCTGTGAGCGGCGTTCCAGCAAATCTTTATTTACACGTTGGCTTTGTCCGAAACATTGCACAACCTTACCAAACGCTGTGGCGACGTACCGGGAGAAGGAGGGTTCGCAATAACCTCATTTCGGTGGAGATGGACTTTGACCTTACACTCCGCGGTTACATTCCAGAATATGGGGCATTCGCTGACCTCGCAATCCTTAACTTGCTGCATGTGTTATCTTTCCTACATTTGTTTTTGTCCAAACAAATTTTATTGAAAGCAATAAAAAATTTTATTTTTTTATCTCTATCGTTTTCCATTCACATGCATGTACATACTCTCGACTTCGGGGTCGAGAGTATGTGTAAATGTGTAAACAAAAGAAAACGTCTTTCCCTCCTTTGTTTTACTTTGTCACGGGTAAGGTCCGCAGCCGCGTCAATCGGGTAGAATGAATGTTCGTGGAGTCCGCGTTGGGGTATTTGTCGGGCTGAACGATCACTCAACATTTTTTTGGAAATTGATACTCGCCCAAAAAGTGGGGTGGGCGATGACTCGGGATATTACAGTAATCGTAGAATGCAATGTAAAATAACCAATTTATAATAATATTATTTCTACGTAGTGATTCTGGCTTCAATCGCTGAGGGCTGCAGATCTCAGGACGACGTCAATGATCAGGGAGTAATAATGGTGGATGTCACGTCGGCCCCAAAAATTTGTGATGCATACATGCATGCTTCATCTACTAAACTAGAATAGACATCAAAGCTGCCACCACATCCCAGTTTATGGGCCCGTGTGACAGCTGCCATAGTTGCACTCTCTGGTCCCACAGTCATCCCAAGATTCTGGCTTCCAGCAATCGAAACCAAAACCACTAGGTATGCCATATGTATTACTCAGACTAAAAAAAATTCAATCCAAAATTTTGAGGTCTTTATCCTTTTAAAGTCAGTCTGGAGTTGGACAGAACCATGGCCTTGCATACATCATCAGAACCAATGAGCAGCTGGGCAAGTTCCCCTCTGAATTCATAGAATGAACGTCATTCTCAGATTCCAAAATTACTTTCATTTATAAACTTGACAGTAGATGTATCACGCAAATAAGACAGTACTTGAACCGGTGTCTGACGCTCCGAATGCCGTCAATACCCGATTCTAAGATATGCTTGGTTTTTATTGCTTGGCAGTACTGGGATTTACAAACAGGGTTCCCTGTTTTCAGGCTTTATTTTTCTTCAAAATCAGGGGTGTTGTATTGGAGTTCATTTTCTGCCATCAACTTTTGTCCTATCTCTTTGAGCACTCTTCCTCATGACAGTAAGAAACGAGTTGAATATACGGAATGCTTTTGAAACTATGTACATAATGAGAAGCACTTATATACTACCACAAATTACCGGGGGAGCGCCCACTCCACTGTCACTTAAAACTGGGTTAATCTAGATGTGGGCGCTTGTCCAGTCAAATCAGGCCAACATATAATTTGCAGAATTCCCAAGTTTAGGAAATGTTAATTGTGGGCGCTGTAACGAAATGGGTGCTTCCACGGTATTTTACGGTAAATACCAAAAACTAGGAACTGCATTAGCCCCAGTCTATTGCCACCTATATTCCAGCAGAATCAAGATGCAACCAGGTCTCACCCCTGTTCTGCCATTGCAAAACAGCAGACTTGAATTCGTCTCCCAACTGCTGAGACAGGGGTCGCGTCGGCGAAGAGTCCGATGTGTTACTTGTGTCGGATAAACGAGATGAACTGCAAAAAAGGGGCCAGGGTAAGTAGTCGGTACCATTTTTTTTCTACATGTTGATGTCAAACACTACAAGTACAATCTGAGACTAGTCACCTAGAATGGTTCTTCATGGTACATGGTAGCAAGCAACTCACAATCACTTTAAGGGCTTCGGAATATGTAGACAAGAATCTTTGCATTGCACAGTCCACTGACTATATTCACTACAGCAAACTATATTATGTCAACAGGGTTATTAATACTGAGCTTAGCTTTTTACCAGACATTCTGTTGTTACCCAGTGTCTACCATTGGAGCCTGGCATAACTTGAGAGTAAAAGTTGAAATGGTGCCCTAAATGACCACTTCCATATTACCATGCCTAAATAATTCTGCACAGCATGCTCAACCAAAGGAGTTATGCCAAATACAAGTTGGAAGAAGAATATGTTGGATGCTGCTTGGAAATTACATTTGAAATATATCAAATGTTGAAAATAGTAAAACTTGTTTTTAGATATCCGACATCTTTCAGTTTGGAACAAAGTCCTAAATTTTGTAAAATTTGGTATCGAGAAGATTGTCCAACCTTTATCTCCAAAGTCCTATAACGAACGAAATGCAGTATTTAAGGTGTAATAGTTTAAAATTATTTAAAAGACATTAAGCTGTCATTTCGGTGTGTGAAGAACCTTTATCTTTACCAAGTGCCCCGATACATTGAGCAGGGAAATGAAATGAATGTACAGGTCTGATAATGTCAGGTCACATGACCTAAAATTTCCCGCTAAATTTAGCAGGGAAAGTGAATTGGTGTATAGGTCATGTGACATCAATATCCCCTCTGAATTTAGACATTTGCAAGCACCCGCACTTCGAGAGCTAGTCTGGCCACCGTGGATGGAAAATGCTTGGCTTGGGCGCAAGTCTGGAAACCGTGGGTATGTCTCAACAATGCTTGACTATCAGACGATCTACCCACACCAGCAGCAAGATGGCAGTGCCCAGAGGCTGTACTCGCAAACGTGTATATTGGGGAAACTGAATTGGCGTATTCACCCCGTGACATCAGGTCATGTAACATAAATTTCTCCGCAGACTTTGGCAGGGAAACTGAATTGGTGTGTAGATCATGTGAAGTCAGGTCACATGACAAATTGACCTCACATGACCTAAACACCAGTTCAGTTTCTTCCCCGCTAGATTTAGCCGGAAATAGACAAATGAACGGATGAACGGAAAAAATTTCGGGACAGGAGGGTTTCGTCAAAAAGGATATCATGCCTTAAAAGCACACAAAAGACATTTCTGAGATCATCTGTCTTGGTGATTAACTCATTTTATGGGATCTTAGCATCCCAGAAATGGACAAATTATGCCCGTACGACATTGATTTCCCTATTCAAAATGTGATTGAAGTTCGTGCTTTGCCCCTTTCCAAGCGGAAAAATCAGGAGCACGGAATCTAGCGGAGGCGCCGACGGTGTGACGACGGGCGCGTGTCGGCCAATCGCAAGCCGCCTTTCTGAGAGAGGCAGCTTGCGATTGGCTGACACGCGCTCGTCGCTCAGAAAGGGGCATGGCACCGTGGCACAAACTTCTATCACATTTTTAGTAGGGAAATAGATGTCGCACAAGCATAATTTTTGAATTTCTAGGATGCTTGGAGCCCATAAGATACATTATCACCAAGTAGAGACAATCCCCAAAAGGTCTTTAGTGCACCTTTAAGAGAGAACGTAAGCGCCAAAAACAAACTTTTTTTTTTTTATTTTAGAGATATCACAATGAACTTTTCGGGGTATGTTCATAACACCAACACAAGAGTAACTGCAAATTTTCACAGTCCTGTATTTGCTAGGTGTCAAGTTATGGGGGTTTGTCAAAATTGTTTATGTGCTTCTATTGATCCAGGCCTGGAGATTTTGCAAAAAGTAGGGGCAGTGTAAAGTTTGTTCTAATGATTCCCAAGGCAAGACAAAGCTGTTTTCAATATTATCTTTACAAAAAAACATTTTGTGCAATATTGAATTTTATGTTTTTGGTTATACTCACATCCATCAAATTTAATGTGTTTATAATAAACTACTGAGTCAATTGATCAAAAAAAAGAAAATCTTAATGCCCTCACAATGTTATTTAGGAATGGAAAACAAGAAACAGCACTCAAATCCATTCAGCAGTTCCAAAGATATGACACTCCTAAAACCACCAACAAGAAAAAAAAAAAAAAAATTCTGTGAAAATGGCATTTTAAAGTTGCACAGACATTTCTGGGGTTCGAATGATCCTGCAGAGTAGCTGGAAGTGTCCTTGCACACTTTCTTCCTGTTTCGCTTCTCCATCTTTGCCTGTTGTCACTTCTCGGCTTTGTGCAAGCGTAGGGCATCTTTTTCGGCAGCTCGCTGGAGGGCTAGATGACCTGGCTGGAGCCCCAGTGCTGCCGACAACTCCTTCGTTGCTTTGTAGCAGCCTGTGTTGAACCACAGCACTGCTTCATGAAGTGCTGTTTCCACAGCAATGAGCGACACATGCTGTTCTTTGGGCATGAGTGACTAGAGAGCTGCGTGAAACGACTCAGAGGCATTCTGAGTCTTGGCCCCCAAGCACCGCTGCAGAAGGGAAGCCTGAAACAGTTGGTCATAGACGGGCCGCATAGCTCCAGCCATATAGTCCGGGAGCTTGTATTTGTGCTTGGGATGCTGCTCACCTCTTGCCTCGGCAGCTCTGTGGCGGCAACACAGCTCGGCTCTCTCCGGGCAAAGTTCATGGTCGGGCTGGTCATCACTCGATGTGACATGGTGGAAAGTTGCCATGACTGCCCGCTGCATTGCTGCCACAACCTTCGAGCTGTTGCGTAGTGCCCAGTCATAGTTATGGTCAGCATGTCGATAAGAACTTTTGTGAGTTTGCCCTTTCCATTCAACAACTTGTCACTCTTCTGGGCCAAATTACACAGTGCCGTCCCCATCCTCTTCTGACTGTGGTTCAGGCATTCTTCCTTGACGATGGGGACTATTCTGTAAACTTTCTCTTCCACCAAGGCTGAGAAAGTCCTACTGTCACCATCGGAGACGAGCGTTTTGTATTGCAGGTCATGCTTCTCAACAGACTGCTTAAAAAGGGTCAAGCATGCTTCCACTTCCATCTTCCGTGATTTGGCATCTGTGTTCTGGCATAAATGGTGCTGGTGCCAGTTGTCGTTCCCTTGGACTCCTTGCTGCGGTTCCGTCTGACATCCAAGGCGTAGGTTGGAAAGCACCACGGCATCTAAGATGAGGCCCGTGTGGTACTCGATCACTGATCCAACACCAAACTCCAAGCAGAAGACACAATGCCACAAATGGCACACACAACCTCCAGCTTCATGGCCAGTCTAAGCTTGGTGCTCTCTTGGACTGTCAGCCAGGGTTCCAAACAATGCTTGCACGCTGTGGGGCAGAGCAGAGTTCAAAACATCCATCTGGACGAGGCAGAACTTCGCATATGCATTTGTAGCAGATGAAGTAGTGCAGGCTGCTGAGTTAGGCTGCGAGGCCTGAAACTTTCTTTTGGTTGCTGACATAGCACTAAGCTCAGCTGAACAGCAGCAGCGCGATGTTTAGCAGCCATTTCGACTTCTTGCATCAGAAAATTTGCCGTCAAACGAACGGTGGACAATACGTTTACACCTGTTGCCACAGCATCGATACCACCAATGGGGCCCACGGTGTCCAAAGCAGCTGAGGAGGTCAGCGTCGGCACTCCAGACATTTCTGGAGCACAGTGATCTGGGACGACGAATGAGTCGTCGCCGACAGCCGATGGCACAGAAAAGTCCTTGCTAGAAGCGTCGACGTGACGTGCGGAGGTTTCCAACCTCGCCACCCGAAGAAGCTTAATGGACCGCTTCCAAGCACCGAAAGCGTGCGCCATCTTGAACTTCGTTGCCGGCATTGTGTATGACCACGAAACACACAGGAAATGACGCAAAAGTGCTAAGAAAAAAGCGTTGGAAACGATCTAAGAAATAGCGAAAAGCGAAGCGGAGCTGACGAAAAGAAAGCAAGCAGACCACCGACGTAGCAGACGACAGGAGCAGCAGATGGGAGAAATAGGGAGGAAGAAGGAGCGCCGGGAGGGGAGTGACACGCATCGCGCCCAATGCAGGGGTGGAAGCAAGCTTCAGCCTTTTGGAGCATGCCTGGGAGCAGCAAAGATGCAGCTCTGGAGCAGTAAAACTTCAGCTTTGGAGCAGCTCAGAAGCAACACAAATCGAGTTTTGGAGCAGTATAAGCAAATCTTGGAGCTGCTTGGTGCTATAAGCACAGGTGTGTTTTTCGAAATACAAAAAGAAATATAAATAAAAAAGCATCTCCCTGTGATCTTCTAGAACCATTTCCAAACATGACCTTTCCTTAAATATATTCCAGCCCATAGCAAAAAAAATATTTGAATGGCTCCCATTGAGAACTGTCCTGGTGGTAGCGGGTTGGTTCCTCTCATGGATTTACAATAGTAGGCATAGGCAACTAAAGAAAAACAACTTAAGCTTCATGAAAACAAGACATTTTCACTGTTTAACAACCTAAATCGCACGTTCCATAAGTTAAAAACAAAACCATTTCAAGCTGCAATAGTATGGTATGAAACAAAGTCCAATACTGACTACAGTTCATTATTAGGAAATGCAAATGTTTCAAGTCCCTGTTTAGAAAACAAAAGTATTCCAATATTCTGAACAGAGTACAAATCAAAAGTATTCCAACACTCAACAGAGTACAAATCTACTCTATCTGATAAAAGTACAAATGCAAAATATTGAAAACTTCATGATACCACCAATATCATTCCTCCTCATACATACGCACTTTTCCTCCTCATACATACGCACTTAATTAACCCTTACTAAAAGAGGCATCACTGACTAAATAGAAACAAGAAAGCTTGATTAGGAGTTTTCTTATTGGCTTATTAAAAAAAAAAATAGTGGGTATATCTCGAGGCACCTAGCATTGAGGTCTACCCAGTATCATTTCAAACAAAACCAATCACAGCTCAGCATCGTTCTGAGGTCACCATATCTCTTGTGCAAGAAGCAGACGACTTGCTGTCCGCATTGCTTGGATGCGTTCCAGCACAACAGTTTAGAATTTGCTTTGCTCAGCAGGACATTCCTACTGTTCTCGTCCTCCCGCCGGCTTGCTGTTTGGGTGCCAGAACGTGTATTCAACACATACATCATTTACAAGAAACTCTACAGATGATTGAGGCAACCAATTAACACTTTTATATGCTACATTTACAACACAAGTGAGGAACGCGGAGGCAATCTCAGCAAAAGCATTCCAAACACGCAAAAGTGAATAATATATTATGCCAAATGTTTATTTTTATAAAGTAATTATTGCTTCCCCCAGAAATTAGATGATAGGTGAACATATGCCAGCAAGCTCTTATGTACATTTATATACCATAAGGTCCTGAAAGAATGCACACCCAAAATAAAAAAGTAAATTGTGTGTGTGTGCGCGCGCGCGCACGTGCGTGCGTGCGTGCGTGCGTGCGTGCGTGCGTGTTGGGGGGTACTACAAGCTATGTGAAACGGAAACGCTTCAACTTCAAAGTTTCATGACTTTTCCCTCACCCCAGTCTCGGGTTTCAAACATCATGATTAACTATCACCAGCTCGCCTGCGAACTCACTGTCTTTTCGTTACTGATACATATCGCAGACACGGCGAACTCGCGTGTGCAATAAGTATGTGGGAATTCGCTATGAACTGCCCAGTCACGGGTACGGCAGCAGAACGCGGACGCAGCGCATTCGCGCTTCACAATACGATATAGACACAAGAACCCGGCCCCCTCAAATTCGGGTGTCACGGGAACCAATATCGCGCGCAAAAATCACAGGCAAAAAAGAAAAAAGCGGGAACAAATAATGAATTTGCATGTCATGGGAAGGGATACCCTGCATAGTATGGATGCTGCAGATTCGCGTGCCACGGCGTGATAAGCACGAGGGAACCCGCGGCGAGCACGGAGAGGGCTTCAATGTGGGGTGGCATACCTTGGAACTACACCGTGCGGCAGCCAATGCGAGCCTCGTTCCTTAAAACTATGATGCGCGCCAGCCAATGGGAGGCTATCCCTCAAATTGCTGCTACAGAGGACAGGCTTCGCTTCATTGGGACAGGGGAGTTTAGGTACCATTCAACACGGCTTCAAAAGCTGATAACACCAGTTCGCTCCATGGGACAGTTAATGCTTTCGCATTAATAACAATACAGAAAGCCTTGTACCTATGAACCGATGTTTCCGACCCAGTGCTGTTAATCGATGTGTTGAGATCTTGCTGCTCGTCAGGAGACTGCAAAAGAAAAAAAAATTATCAACTTATCAACATTTCCAGTAGAATAAAAAAAAAGACAAAAAAAAAAAAAAAAAGAACAAGTTTCCAGGAGAGAGAGAGAGAGAAAATAAAAGCAAGCAAGAGAACAGACACTCACAGCCATGTCAGTGCTAGTCTGTTTCTTGAGAGCTGACACGGATGGCGGCTGCCTGTTAGCAAGACTGCCTTTGGCGGCCAGCTCAGCCTTGGCTTTGGCAGCAGTGGAGTCCAGAAATTCGGTGTGTGGCACAGCTCGGTCAAATGCATCTCCTGCTCCCCGCCGCTCCACCGTCGACCGCCGGTGGTCGCTGGACACTTCGTCGGGGCTTAATTCACACCGCAGGCAGTCGTCACTGTCCAATTCTGAAATTAAGTATGCATTCGAAAGGCTTAGTGCAAACTAAAAAAAAACAGTGTCAAAACGTTCTAATGTAATTGCTTCTTTTTTTTTTTTCTTCTTTTAAGAAGTTTCAGGCACCTTAAAATCATGTTTTCTACCCAGAGCAAAAATTCTTGTGCAGTCTCTCTCGAGGTCAGCTCTGCAGGATTCCTGTTCCCTTCTCTACTTAGATTAAGTTGTCAACAGAAAAAAATGCCCGAAGGTTCAAAAATATATAGGCTCCAAAGGTTATCCTTGCCATTCATATAACAATGGTACTCGTAAAAGATATGCATGCTGATGTGCATGTTTACCAAACCACAGGAAGCGGGTTTTTGTTTTTGTATGCTGCGCTCACACAGGCATTTTAAAATAAACACTTTGTTTTACCAAGAAGCAGTAACGTTGTAGGTCAAATAAGGTCATTTCTAAACCAGATTCAATGCTGATCTAATGAATCTGTCTGGTATTTCACCGCCATTAACATTTTATCTCAAGAAAAAAAAAAAAAAATCCCTTTATTTTTTACACTGCTAGACAATTCAACAGTACAGTCTAAGCTCGTTAGAACAGACCTTGATTTTGACCAAGATTTTGGTCTGTTGTAAAAGGAGTATGCTGTACGCAGATATAAAGTTGAGTCAACGGTGCATAGAGGAAACCAACCAAACTTCACAAATCAGTATGTTATATCCGAATATACCAAAGCAGTTTGAAACACCAAAGTTGGCGGATGTTCCACCTTGGACACTAACATGCCCTACAATATCACTCAATATAGATGGCATACAGAAAAAAGTATCAACTGCACAAACTGTATTAAGCAACTGACCCTCTCATTAATCAATATCAACCATCGGTTCAGAACTCACATTTACACTGACGGGTGAACAACTCATCAAAGCTCAGCTGCCGGAGTAGTTATACCCATGGAACAAGTCGTGCTTAAATTCAGACTAGACCACCGCACCTCATCAACTGTCTCGGAGCTGGTGGCCATTAGGGAAAGCTCAAAATATATAATACGCACCGAACCACGAGCATGGTCCGTTTTCACTGACTCAAAAGCTGCACTCCAGAGCATGCAGCACTATCTACGACGTGGAGCAAATGAACAGCTGACATTCACCGTAGTCAGCCTCTGCCAACAGGCCCAACAGGCTGGCCACCACATTCACTTCCAATGGATCCCGAGCCATTGTGGCGTCCCTGGTAATGAGGCCGCTGACCAAGCAGCAAAGAGCGGGCACGACAACGTATCTAGCATTTCTGTTCCATATTCAAGAACTGACGCTGGTGCAACGGTTTTCTGGGTTGGAAAAAAGATAGGTGCGGCCCTCTGGGCAAGCCCTTCTCACCACTATCCACGACTTTATAATCTAGATCCTGAACTGAAGTTCAGACCGCCCAGAAACCTTACAAGAAAGTTGAATCAGTACTTCACCGAATCAGGCTGGGCGCTGCATTTACATATAAATATCTCCACTGTATTGGGAAAAGACCTTCTGCAAACTGCTTGATATGTGAAGAAGTGGAGTCACTGGACCACCTGTTATGCACTTGCTCAATTTATGACGTGGAAAGAGAGGTGCTTACTGAAGAACTTTCCCAGCTGGACTCCCGACCGTTCTCTCTCCAGAAGATCTTAGGAGCATGGGAGAGCCCAGAAAAGCTGGCTGATGCGACCAAATACCTATTACGTTTCTTACGTGACACTTAACTTATTTGCCGTCTTTAAGGAGCAGATATGGAGCTTCACGTTATTTTGATGTGTTTTTATTAATTTCCTCTTCTTGCACTTCTTTGGCATCCCCGATTCCCCCTCCCCAGCACAGAGAAACCGGTTAATGCAAACTGCATGGAGCGACCTTTCTGTCTTTCTAAATAAACCTCTTCTTCTAAACTTTGCTATATGTTCCAATGCGCTTGTACTCAAATATAAAAAATATACAGGCAAGAGAGAACCTCTCTCTCTTTGGACCCCCTCCAAGTACTACTAGTATATGCAAAAATACAACTAAGGCAGCACTTCCCCAGTCAAGCTTGCATAAGCCAATACCAGCACTCTGCAAAGGAACCGAATTAGGATGCACCATCAGTGCACAATGTAACAGTACAGCTTTAGCAACTTCTAGCACATGGAATGTAGTCACCTGAAAGGGGAACTGCAGGGGGTGGTGGCCTCCTCTTCTTCATCTGTGGTGTGAGCAACTTCATTGTGTTATCATAAGGCAACTGCATGGGCAAGCCTGCTGCCTTCTGAGTTTCTGACAGGCAGTTTTCCAGAAGGATGACCTGAGAAGAGCAGTAGAAGCACCAAACAGATTCCAGTCAGAGGGATAATCCTAGTGCAAGAAACTTCAAACAGCACCAAGTGCCGCCTCTTTCGGAATGCCACAGCATCGAGACACGACGATGCATTCACACCATCACATACACCCCTAATCACAATTAGTGGGTACTACTGTCGAGACCGGTTATAGCGAAGTCGGGTATAACAAAAGAGTGGCTACAGCGAGGCGATCACAATTTTTCATTCCCGCTTGCACTTTTTCAATGCATTTGTGTCCGTTTTTAACGAAGGAAATTGAGCGGCTCCCGCGGATATAGTGAAGAGAAATTTTGTGATAATTTAGAAAATAATAAAATTCAGAATATTACTGTCTTGGATCGTTGTAGTTGTGCTGTCGCGGCCGAGCAGCCACCCAGAACAGATCGCAGCCTACGCACCGTCGTCTGCTCCCGGTTCCTTATCTGGGAAGCGGCTTTTCCCCACTGCACGTGAAGAAGCCGTCGTGGTATGCCAATAGGAGCGTTCGAAGAGCTGGCGACAATGCACCTATGACGTACCGACAGAGACGACGGAAAGAACCTAGGTTTGAGAGAGGAAGCAACCCCAATTTAATGGTGGACACTTCCTCGGCAGGTGGGCTCAAGTGCGCCTGAATTTGGTTGTCTCGTAGCCAGCGTGGCGAGGAAACCAGCCGGAGGGGCGGACACGTTTGCAGACGGTAAACGCTTTTGACTCCTTGCATGCTGCAGCTTGTTTTGCAAACGCATCCCACAAACCAAAGGGTCCCCGATCGAGCAGTTGTTCTCTTTCTTAAATCTAGGCTCTCTATACCGACGAAACACAAACTTCAGCGTGAACTTGGTGCCGTGCGCGCTTTGTTTGCTTCGTGTTCCGTGTCAGCGTTGCTAGTCGGTGTGGCTGCTCTCTGCACAAATGTCTAGCTTCGCACAAGCACCAATTCGGCGACTCATTGCCACTCAACGATGATGGGTCCCTGCACCTCGACGAGGAAGACGAAGACCATCTCCTTGAAACAAAAGCATGTCGCATCCTCGACAAAGTGAGCAACAACATAAAGAATGCCGTCCACCACCGGCGTCCTTTGTGGCGGCCGTCGATAAAGCTCTGGACGCGGTCCGTACGCAGCTTGCAGGATTTTCTTTCGATCGGAGCTTCTGTCACGAGAGGCAGCTCCGATCTAGCAGAGAGCACGTGTAGGGAAGCCTCGACCGCTTTCTGCAGGCACGATAAACATGTGCCCGTAACAACCCGTGTTATCTTTTTTTTTTTTTTTTTGCGTGTTACTTTTATGAAGTTTAGATATAACAAAGAAGCGGATATAGCGGAGTGATTTCAGATTCTAGTTGACCTAGTTATAACCAGTCTCGACAGTAGCTGAATTTCAAATTGTCTAACTCCAAAAAATTTTTAGTATGATTCCTTTCAACTTTCTTTTATTGCCGAGAAGACTTTGACCTGTTTTAACATCGAATACGTCTTTGGCAGCGGTAAATTGGAGAAAATGTAAGGCACAAACACGAGACACAAAAGCATTATAACCAAGAGAACATATAGTGTCACAGCCACAGTAGAGCTTCTTCACAGGTGGCATCTCACCCCCAATGGCTGGCAAAAGATTGTGTGAGCACAGCGACAAACAATGGTGTTCTTGTCGAAAGTCAAGCTATGAATCTCGGTACATAAGCGAATGCACCGAGATTTACCGACCCAAAGACACATGCTATGCATAAACATTTCTAAACGTTATCATCAATACTATGCATGCCGATTTTTTCATGTGTGACCAAGGTACTGCCACAAATGTTACTTCGGCAAACATTATTCAAGTTCCTAAATATGTATTCGTCAACAGACATTGCATACCTGATGAAAAATTAGATAGAAAATATAGATTGGATAATTCCACTTTGATGGTATGCTGCGCTGCGTAGTTACGCGGAAAAAAACACTGAAGAAATGAAGTTAAAGCAGAAGGACAGACAAAACATGCATGAATTGGCGCAGACAAACAACGCTTCTGAACTTGATGGTGTTTGCTGTAGCTGCCTCTTTGATATACCAACTGAATGGTGTGTTTTCGTAGCAATTACCTGGGGCCTGATGTTTGCTCCGACATGTTTGGCATCTTATTGAGTAGATCTATTTCTTCTTGTCGCAAAGCTAGTGATGGCTCACTGACGCATGCTCAGTGTCTACCCGAGGCCATGTGAAAAGCCTCTATTATTTCACGCTTTGTTCTGTCCTTTGATCTGGCCAAGATGGAAGTAGTGTCAAGGAGAGCTTTGCAGTTGCATTTTGAACAATGCGCTGCAAGGTTGCCAGGTGCTTGTAGTTGTCCGCATGCATGGTTGTGCTCCCTTAGTCTCTCATCAAGTTCAGAAGCCAACAAATTCAAGACATCAACCATTTGTTTTCTCAGCCGTAATTTCGGAAATACGGGTCGGGGGGAGAAAAAAGAGAAAGAAATTAAACAGTTGTTAGTCTGCGCCAATTCATGCATGTTTTGTCTGTCCTTCTGCTTTAACTTCATTTCTCCAGTGTTTTTTTCCGCGTAACTACACAGCGCAGCATACCATCAATGTCAAACCAACTAGCCCAACTCCAAGCATTATTTGGATAATTCCACATTTGCTTGGAAGAAAAGTTTTTTTTTTTTTTTTTTTTTTTTCATTCAAGTTCCAATGAAACAAAGGTCAAGAGAATCGGTTGTCTCATTCGAGGGTTATGCAATTCAGATATGTTCTGTAAATGCTTTCATCAAGCAGCTCTCCAACAAGCCAACCAAACCTTCCAAGATTTTGCAAGCCTTGAATGAAGAAGTGAAAAACAAATTTTCGTTGGAAGAATAATATTTTATATACAAGTTGTTTGATTTTATTCAAAAGCATTTGAAAAGAAGGTGAGAGTCACATTGCCGCTGTCTTTGCTGTGTATTTATTAAGCTCGGTGGACATTAGATGAGCGAACAGCCGTCGAAATGAGTAGGAAAAAAATATTTTAATTTATTTTTTTTTATTTACGTTTTTTTATGGGTCATGTTACAATTGTAGTTTAAAAGACAGCTATCATGAAAGATACATGGAAGAATGACAGTATGTCACTCTTCCGTGCATTATTCTGGACGGGAGTTTCGGCAAACACTCTGTGCCCAGTTTCGCAAAAACTAATGGATGCGTATCCGAAATCCAACTGCTTTTACCGTATTTACTCGAGTAATAGCCACGCTGTTTATGAAGAAAACCTGAGGGTTCGCTTTTTCGCAGAGCACGCAAATTGCCAATCGCCGCGATCGACATCATGATTCCAGCTGTTTACAGGACAGAGATAATGTCTTTGTGCAAAGATACCATCTGTGAAGATTGCATTTGTATAGAGAATCATGTTCTCGACCTGATTATTCGCTAAATTATTTATGCGCAACGCAGTGATTGGCTGTATTTGTGTTCGGTGGGAAAGCAGATGCAAGGGCTTTGTTCATCAATAGTGCGGCTATTACTCGAGTAAATACGGTATGCAAATTGCTTAAATTAGATCAGCCCGTAATAATGACATCATTTGAAGTTGCAATTTCAACATGACCCATTAAACCATTAATTAGAAAGTTAATTAACATAACTAAGTTAATCAGCCAAATTATTGTTGCAGCTATCACCCTCATGCAACGTCCACAAAGCCCTTTAAGCATATAGTGAAGGTCGCATTCCCGTAACTGTCACTCCCGTTTTCTTTTAAACAAGTTTGAATTAAAACACCCCATATACCTAAGGTCCCTCTATACTGAAAATAGCGCAATTGTAAATGCCTCGACGATCCGAGACGTTTCTTGACAGCACACGCGCCCTACATAAGCGAAATTGCATGTTTCACTCTACAATCACCTAAATAGAAACCTCCTTAAAGAAAAAAAAAAAAATGAAAGCCGTTTACAACTCCCTGTAACACCGAATTAGAGCGCAGCTCTTGAAGAGGAGGGAAGGCTACTGAGGGGAGCGCATACCCCTCCTCCCTCCTCACCTCCTCATCCTGCCTGCTACTCCTCCCTCCGAGCGTCGTTCCCGTCAGCGTAATTGTGAGGCCACTTACGCCGTGACGTCATGTAACCCTCATGACCTTACGGGGGGTCACGTAACCTCACTGGAGTTACGTGACCTCACGGGGGTCACGTAACCTCACTGGAGTTACGTGACCTCACGGGGGTCACACGACCTCACGGGTGTCAGGTGACGTCACCGGGAGTCACGTGACCTCACGGGGGTCACGTGACCTCACGGTTACGACAATGGCGACGCCGCCCAAGCCAAAAACAATTGCCCAAGAGCTGCGCTCTGAAAAAAAAATTTCAGCTTTAAGAATTGATGAGCGCAAGGTGAACACACTGACAAAGGTGTAAGCTCGCCACTCTACAGTCACAGCAAACGTCACTCTCCCCGGGGCCGCACTGACCCGATCCTTGAGCGCCTTGACCAGGGCGTTGTACTCGTGGTCCTTCTCCTGCAGCTGGTGCAGGTGGAACTCCTCTCGCTGAGCCGCCTCTTGGCCCCGCTGCTGAAGTTCACGCAGCAGCCGCTTGGCTCGGCCGTACTTAGCCTCCAGCGCACACAGCCGGTCCTGCAGCTCCAGGGCCGCCTCGTGCTGCTGGGCCGCTTCCTCCCGCAGGGCTGCGGCCGTTGCTTCCGCGTCCTGCAGCCGCCCCTGGGCCCCTTCCAGCAGCCGCCCGAGGTCTACCCGCTCCCCTTCAGCCAGCGCCAGCTTCTCCCGCAGCGAGCGCACCTCGGCCTCCGCCACCGCCAGACGGTACCTGGAGGCCGGAACAAGACGCCTCGGGCTGGAGTCTCGGGCAAAATGCCGCACAGGCCGCAATTTTTGGGCCGGGCCCGGCCCGCCTGAGCCCAACAGGTTTTATAAATATGAGCTCAAGCACGGCAGATTTTTTTTTAACTTTCTTGACCGCGCCCATAGGCTATTGATCACCAGTGATCAATGGTATCCAGGCACTGTCAAATAATTAAATTTAGTGCGGAGAATTACATTCCACATTCTCGTGCATAGCCGAAGAACAGTAGTTTCAGTTTCAATGTAGGTTTTAGCTTGATCACAAGCTGGTGTGCTGTCAAAAATAGTCCTGGAAACGGTGGTTGCGCTTGTCTAACACGGCTAACTGCTTGCATCAGTCTTCGTAACAAAGATGGCAATATATACATAATTCGGATACATAGCTCTGGGGACACTTTTAATTAAGTTGTAGGCATCACTTAACAGATGGTTGTCTAAAAGCATCACTATAATTTCCAATACTGCCCTGAGCTGCCGTGCACATTTTATGTTTCCAACAAAGCGGACAAAAATGCTAAATATGAAGGAACTACAATAAAGGCTATGACAAAACTAAGGTAGAACACAAAGAAAGCATTCTGCAGGGGGTGTGAGGTGTACTATCTGGTTTCACCAATATAAGCATTCCTTCAGTGAAAAGCACACATGTTACAGAGTAACTCTCCGGCATATCAAAAATATACAGTTAGTTAGAGCACTCTAACTTTCAGGTGTAAAAGCCCCGGATGTGGGACACATTTTGTATATTCAGAATTCTTTTAGAGTGCAGCTCTTAAGGGCCCGTTTCCGGCTTGAGCGTCGTCGCCGGCGGGGTTACCTGACCCCCCCCCCCCAAGGGTCACGTGACTCTCCTCACGGTCACGTGATCCTTCCCTCCCAGGGTCATGTGACCACCCCCCCCCCCCCGGATTATATTGAAGAATGAGGGGAGGAGGAGGAGGAGAAGGAGGGGGCTACCCTCCCCTCAATACCCTTCCCTCCTCCTTCCCCCCTCAGTGCCCTTCCCTACTCCTCCTCAAGAGCAGCACTATAATTCGGCTTTGACTTTTTAACTTGACATAGCTGTAGAAGTTCCATCGTTTATACGCCTTTTGCACATACATTGTATTTTCAAGAATTACATTTTAAATACTTTTCCCCACATTATACCAACCCGTTTCTTTTGAAAGAAGAACTAATTGGCCAAATTTTGATGTGTCATATTATACGCAAATTAGGTAAAATAAAAGCGGTTGCACGGATCCTTTGAAAATTGCTGCTTTTCCCGTGGTCAGGAAAGAGTTAAAGTGAGCCCTAAGAAGTTTACCAGCCCTAACCTGACAATTCTTAGACACAGAAACAGGTCTAATTCTGTTGCTTCATCTTATGTCATAAAATTACAAAGCTAGAAAATGTTTTTCTGGAGAAATTTTTACTCTCACTCTTGTCCCTAGATTGCCTGTATACTAAGGTGAAAAGCTCACACCCCCTCTCCTCCACTGGGCACCACTGTACTTTCTACAAGCGTGGCGGCACTCTTGCAAATGCCACAAATGTCGACACCAGTCCCAGACATCATGAAAAAAGGCTTGCTGGCAATCCGGTTACACCTTGTCAGCACTAGCAACTAGCTAATCACCGAGTTGGCAACTAGCCTCTTCCCTCGTGTCTGAGGGAGCATAGTGAGACAAGATCCATAGTGGCGTAATACTAGGGGTAACATGTATCAAGTTTAACAATAGTCCTTTTTACTCCAATAATCCCTGGAGAAAGGGAACAAGCGGGACAAAGGACAAACACAAATCTCCAAACACAGCTAGGTGACTGGTGCGCGATTGAAAAAATCCACCTGGTCTTGGTATCGAACTAGGGACCTCTTCATTTCCAATGGAGTGCTCTACCAACGGAGCTAACCAGGAGTTGGACGTCAGTAGAGCAAACAGGTTTTAACAGCCGCCACCAGTCTAACACCAACAAGGGTGAACGGCCCGCATTTTAAGTATATGATGTCCATACAATTAATGCAATGGTGCAAGCGAGCTGGACAAGAATTTATTATTTATAAAGTCCTTTACGCTTGCGAAATAACAAAGTCTTACCACAGCTGACTGAAACGCAGCCTTTGGATGTAATCAATGTTCACCCGAAGCTTATCGCCCGACTCCAGTGTCACAGGAGACTGCACTGCAAGGGTAAGCTAAGCTTTTAATATGCAGTTCAAGGTGCCCCTCACAATTACCAGTAGATGCCAATATTTTTCAACGAGTACAATCCCAGTCACCTGAATAACTCTGGAGACTGGCAGCGACAGGTTCTGAGGACTTACTGCGTCTCCTTGAAACGGAGCCGGATACCATCGGGGTCTGTGTCAGGCGAGAGTGAGTCGCTGCTGTCATTGGACAGCTCAAAAGCCACGCCCGGAGTGAGCTCTTCCCCATCGTCATCAGGAGTCGAAGCGAGGGAGTCCAGCCCCCCCTGGGCGTCCTGAGGAGCCCCCTTGAGCCGTGCCTCCCGTTCCCTGTCTGCCTGAATCGACTGGTAGATCAGCTGCGCTATCTCGCTGTTGGTCGAGTCCCGTTCGCGGCCAATTAAGAACCTGCACCGCCAAAAAGTAACCAAGCAGTGAACAAATCGGCCTCAATCACTCCCGTCACAGCCAAGAATCGCAGCACAATCAATCATCCTGCCCAATTTACAGCGACATAATATGTACCAAAAGAAAACAACTGTAGCACTAATACATCCACCGGAACGGGTGCCGAGCACACCGTTTGAACTTGTTGACAAGCGAGCAAAAACAAGTAGAAGGTCACAATATGCATGCCAGAGAGAAGCACAGTTTTGATTCTGTGGCAAACCTATCCCAAGATTTATCTACAAAGACAGTGCAGAGTAAGATCCCCCTGTGGTATTCACCTATAGCAAAACATTACGAAGTACTGCCTTCTTTTGCCAACAGTGTGTTTTTGTCAGCTGAATGCTGCACAATTTCCAAACAAAATTAGCAGATACACCTGTGCTTGATAATAATCCCTGGAAAAGGAACAAGGGGGACGAAGGACCAACACCAATCTCCAAACACAGGTAGGTGACTGGTGCACAACCGAAAAAATCCGCCTGGTCCTGGTATCGAACCAGGGACCTCTCCATTTCCAGTGGAGCGCCGTACCAACTGAGCTAACCAGGAGTTAGACGTCAGTAGAGCAAATGGGTTTTATCAGATGCCACCAGTCTAACAACAACAAGGGTGAATGGCTTGCATTTTAAGGTTATGATGATAGTGCTAGTGTTTGTCCTTTGTCCTCCTTGTTCCCCTTCTCCAGGGATTATTATCGTCATGCTTGCCCAAATCACTTGCACCTTTGGATTATCATCATACTTGTGCTCGCTTTTCTTCATCACGCACCAATTATAAATACATAGGATCTTTTGCCTCACCCACCTTACGAGCCCGGAGGTATTCCGCAGAACTGACGCTGCGTATGCCTGTGTCACACCGACAAGGGACTTGCCATCCACTTCAATGATCTGATCATTTACTCGAATTCTGCAAGAAAAAAAATGTACACATTTTTGGTGCGCACGCTTGCAGGTGTACTACACTTTTCATAAAGGGAACCTTCATTCAATTTCAAAACAAGTAGGGCTGCCAATAATTTCTGTTTTAACATGCCCATTGTGACGTGTCAAAGCTTTCTTTTTTTTTTTTTGCGTTCTGTTGCAAATAATTTTTTACAACTTTTGTACAACTTGATCATTTTTTCTTATTTGTGAGGTCACAGTTTGAACATGCATCTCCTCGAAACCAAAGCCTGGCATGTTGCAGTGGCAGACATCAACGCTACTCTTGCTACCAAAATGAATTAGTAAACAACTATAAAATGGTCAAATAAGTTTTTTTTTTTTTTTATTTCAAATTTTTTGCAGTGGTTGAACAAAAATTAGGACTTACTCTTGATGCCACACACTGCGTGCATAACACAACCAATGACAGCTCAAAACTTTTCTATATTTCGTATTAAAAAAAAAAAAAAAAGTGAAGTCACCACCTCTCAATATCACATTAGCCTCCCAACCATTAATACCAAGACTCTTCTGGCATTAGCTACCATGCTAACTAATATGCCATCATCTGCACTGCTTTCTTGTGTCCCCTTGTCCTGGCAAGGCACCAAGCCAGAACAGAATTGCTGGCTTTTATCTTGTCATAAAAACTGTTATCTTCTTTGGTCAATCCACCTTCCACCTTGTGAACAACTTTGGTCAATCCACCTTGTGAACACAAAAAGGATGACGAAGAGGGCCTGTTGCAATTTATGTCGCAACCCAGACTTCTGCACTAGGCAATTTGCAAGAAAGCTGGAAGATAGCCATCTCAATGTCTCTTTCATTTTCATAATTCAGACCTACCCAGTGATGATTGGTCTGAATCATTTTTGAGCACATCTTGGAGCAAATTTTGGAGCAGTCAAGAGTCCACTTTGGCGCAGCAAACGGAACTTTTGGAGCAGAGCACACAGTTCGTTTTCATTCATACTGATGTGAATATTACAATAATATTCACGCGCTGGCCTGTCCAACTAAAAGACAATGTCTATTTTGCCCTCCCACCCCTGTACAGCTTTTTGTTAGCGTCAACTGTACAAAAGGTTCAATTCTCTCAAACACGTTACTAACTGTTTTGTTGACTCTAGAAAAAAAAAAAAAAAACGGCAACAAGGTGCTGATTGATTAACAAAAGAATGAGCTGCTGTGATGGATATTATAAATATGGAATCACAGGCAAACCAAATAGTAAGTGTTCAACTGAAATAATGTGAGAATAGAATAATTTCGAGCATCCAAATTGATGGTTTATTCCAGTTTTAAAAGGTTTAAAAAAAACTGGAGTTCTCAATTCAGATACAAAGCAAAGCTTTTGTCATTTGGTTATGAACATCTATGACGTTATATGTGTAGAACTCTAAGATAACAAAAATGAGCATGTGAACCATAAATATACTTCCTTAAAAGCAATCCTGCCAGACTCGTTAAGGTTAAGCGAACAGATGAAAGCGAAATAAAGGTGACAACAAAAGAGATGACAAACATAATCCTACAGAGAAATCCATATAAATCTTCTTGCAATACCGAAGTATACTTGCTAATTCACGACTTTCCAAAAGCCTATCGTCAGAATATTGTAGTCTATCATATATACTAGCCCAAGTTTTATTCGGAAATCGTGTGAAACGTCTTGTTCTGGAGGAGTGTTTTTTCCTTAGCACATGGGTGCGCTGTGGAGATGCAAGATATGCAAAATTAGGGTACCTACTTGGCGGTTGTTTCTGCACTGTAGTACACCAGTGCGTGGTGAGAAGCGCACTCAATGAAGCTAACTAACCCACCAGAACAGACCATGAACTTGAGAAATATTACGAAATGTCCAAATACCATCAGTGTTTGAGATGAAATCAAATAATTCATTATTTGAGGCGATAATTGAAAGTTCTGAAACTTTGCACAAGCCAACAGTGGCCATCGAGATGTGAAGCAGGGCCCGAGCTATCACATTTTCAGTGCTAATAAAGCAAAATTACATTTTTATGCAATGTTGGTGCAGATTCCTCACATTTTGTCAAAATGTAACAGGATGTAGCAGCGCAGGCACTTCGGTGTAGTTTGGTGCCAATGGCAGAGCAATCACATCACTGACCTACCTGTTGTCCTTATAAGCTGCTCCGTTTTCCGTTATAGTCTTCACAAAGATACCCAATTTTTCTAGTCCGGCATCAGCACCAACCCCCATGCCAATAATGCTGAGACCCAGTCCTTCAGGACCTGAAAGATGAGAATGAAGTACTGTAAACGACTTATTTTCGCAAGGACCTCATTTTCGCAAATTTCGTGAATCACCTCCAATTCACAAAAAATAGGTCCCACGAACAATGGACTTCTTGCGAAACCGACGCGCCCCATTGCGGCAAAATACCACGCAGTGCACTCTGGGAACTAGTTGGCCACTCAGTTTCGGTTTCGACTGTGCAGATTCATCTCGTGCTATCACGCCGCGACCGAACGCGCTGCTTGCGTTTTCGATTATCTGACTTTTTACGAATGTACAATACACTCATTCTCGAGCGATACAAAAACGAAGACCGGGGCACTTTCCTTGGTTCCCGAAACACCGGATATTGTGCGTGAGAATGCAAACATAGAAAGACGTGGCTTAGTCACCTCACCCCACAAGTGCATCTTTGAGCTCGTGTCAGTAATCCCGTCTAGTAGCAGTGAACTACAAGTGAAATTCGGTCACCTGGAGCATTACACGTATTTTGTTTGCCAAACGTCCGCTTCTTGTTACTTCATTGGGCGAAAAGCAAGCCGCATCCTCACAGGAGTATCAAAGTTGAGCCCAGCATTGACGCATGAACTTTTAAGGAAACGCTATAAATTCTACCTCACTATAGTTACTATAATGTCTTCTTCGTGTCATCATATATCTCCCACTCAAATTTTATGCTGATAAAAGATTAAGTTTTCGCAAACGCTGAGATCGGCTAGCTACGACGGATGCCCTAACAAGCGTCCCCTACTCCTCGCTAAGCCTTTTTGGACGAGCTTTTATTGACGCCCAAGAGCTGTGCCTGAACGTTGCGTCTGAAATTATCTCGGCATACTAAGGCAGGAAGAAAGGAATCACATAACAAATATTATGGCCATTAGCAAACGTCAAATGCACTTTGAATAATTTCGTTCCTTTGGCGCACCGCATAGGGGTTCATGCCCGTCCGGCGTACTTCTGGCGAATGGTGCGACATTTTTCACACAAGTGCTCGACTTTTGCTTTCTTAAAATGGTTTGTATGTGCGAATGTGCCTATATGATTGCAGGATAACTTTACGCGCATACGCGATGTTGAATATTAGTGAAATGCAAGTGGGGGCCTTTCGCTTCGTGCAGTGCTGCGGGTCAGTACAGATAAGAGATAAGAGGTGTGTTATAATTGAGCTTTTCAATGGCGCCTCCGAGTTTTACCTCGCGTACACAGGCGTATTAAGAATACAGTAATTGCAAAAATTAATATTTCGTCTATGGACGCACGAAACAAACAAACTTCCTGATCAACAACACTAATTTAAAGGCGCGAGCTCGATGTGTGCATACTTTTTGGTTGCTACAGCTTGTTGATTCGTACATAAGCAAGATCCCCGAGCTCCGCAGCGTCGACATTCCCAGCACAGGCTCGTCCACATACCTCGATTGGAACGCTAACAGAAAGGCTCAAGTACAAAAATAAAACAAGCATGTATTAAGACAAGCTATACGTCTCGGTCTTGTGCTAAAGCTTCGAGGTCTGGCCATTTAGGTTAGTTTAGAGACCACAAATGACGCTCTCGGGACCAGAAAACATGAGATAACGGCCGTTAAAAGTCCACGTTGTGTGTAGTAATCTCTTATCGACGTGTCGATCGAAACCGAAACCATGCCACTCTCCTCCCTGGCCAACTAGTTCCCAGAGTGCAACGCGTGCCGTGTTGCATGCAGGGCTTTATGGAAGTAGTCTATTCCTGTAAAATGTAAACACAGTGGAATCTATATTGAGATCCCACCGCGTCACGAAAATTAGAACCCGCAAATTATTCCAAAACTTTAGCTTTCACCTAAATCGCGAAATATTGAGCCCCCGAAAAATATGTTGTTTACAGTATACTAAAATATTTAAGAGTACAAGCCACGACAGTTCACACTTTCTGCCAAGGTCAGACTATGTATAAAGCCCGAAACAAAGGTTGAATTTACCTTTAACAAGCTCCACAGGAAACACGTCCATCTTCTCAATTCTCTTCTCTAGTTCGTACTCTGCTGAAGCAGAGACTGGATCTACATCGTCGTTGCGTCGATCATAGTCATCTACGGAGTGTGTGCTGAATACCTGCGCACAATACCAACAATAATGTATTTGGGCAGAGCCCCGCTCACACGACAGTGATTGTCATCACTGTCAAGACCATTTCTAATGAAGTCAACGGGAATCAGAAATCACTTCGCTATATCCGCTATTTCATTATAACCAACTTCGGTTATAGCGATGTGCAAGAGGGAACGGGAAATAGTGATCACTTCGCTGCAGCCGCTATTTCGTTATAACCAGTATCGACAGTACTACTTTTCACCCATCCTGATTTATGGAAGCCTTTTTTGTTCATTGCAGTCCAATACAAACTAGCCAACTTGTGACTCCATTGCATCACATTCAAGACAGCATGCTTTGGGGCATACTTCCAACCTAAAATGACGAAAAAAAAAAAAAATGCCAGCAGAGTTGGGCATTGTTACAATGTTTTGGTAGAAACCAGTAGAAACCTGCCTGGTCGTCAAAATTCCGTCGAGTTGTTTGGACTAAGGCTGCACCAAAATAGCTAGGAAAACTGCTGAGATCAGTTTTCATGTGTTTCATGGCTGCCCGACCCGTCCGAGAACATGGATAGGCGCCGTAAAAAATCGCAACTAGCAACGTCGGACCATGACCGCTCGGGCAAGAAGCACTGTGCTACGGGTGAATTTACATGAAGACACGTTGACATATCTTTACAAGCCTCTAAAGACCCGAAACGCGAAGAGTGTCAGAGTAGGTCAGCTTGGTGTAAGCTCCAGACGCACAGGGATTTTGACCACTCTAAATGGTAGCAATCACCGACTTGTTATACCCGACTTACATGGTGCGATTCTGCTTGCAATTTTTAGTTACGTTGAGCATAGCAGCTTTCAACTATGCTTCTTTCTAGCATGAGCAACGTTGCAAGTGAAAATTGCAACATCTAAATTAGACGTTAGTGCTGATAGATTGCCGTCCGTCACACAATTCACGCAAAGTTTTGCAGTGTAATGAACCTGTCCATTTCATTGAAGCCCCCAAGTAGTCAGACATTGATAAGATGCAAGTTCAATATAATCCCAACGTGAAAAAAAAGCATGGAGACTAGCACTGATGCCGACAACATGGCACAGCAATGGTTTGTTGATGGGGAGGCTGCACTTCTTGCCCACACCCCACTGTGCACGTGCAGCATTGCTGGCGCAGCTACCTAGGGGCGCATTGATTTGTTTGCAAACATTAGTGTGTAAATATCAGCTGCTGGTCTCCAATGCCTTTTCTATGGGAAAGTCTCGAGTCACACAACTTCTGAGAAAATGATACAATTCCTTTTGAACGTTTTATGATTAAAAACAGAAGGTTGCAGTCATGTTTTTCTTGAGAAGTAGCTTCTAAAGCTTCTTTTTTTTTTTTCTTTAATGAATGCCAAGTATTTTCATAAAACTAAACACTGAATTATTCAACAAAACTTTAAGAAAGCCTTTTTTCCTTGGAAGTTGGTCGGCACACTTAAAAAAAAAGCAGCTCAGCTGAAGTACTCTTTTAAATAGAAGCCGAGTGCTGAAATGCTCAATTTGGAAGTTAGAAATCCCCCTCACCCAAATACCATTCAAAATTAGAGTTTTCCTAAACTTGAATTTTAATGATACTACTGACTGGGTCATAACACGCTGACACAAGCATATCGAGGGCCACACTGAAGTCCCCTTAGTTCAATCCAGCTCACTCAGTCATGTTAACATGAAAATTAGCCAGTGAAGATGTCCTACTGCTTAGAGCCCCAGTCACTATTGCACACCCTCACACCGACCAATACCAAACTATATAACTTATGCAGCCCAGAGTATCAATGCATATACCAGACCTGCCAACCCTACAATGCTGAAAATACTACAGGGGGCGCAAAAAAAAAACCACTACAGTTGTATGAAGAAATACGAAAACTTTTATTCTTCAAAACTTGGTTTAGTCGAGAAAAATACCTTAACATTCATTGCACCAAATGTCTTATTCTTTAGAAGTAGAAGGTTCGGCCAACACCACGGTGTAGGAACGCTCTTTGGGTGTGGAGACTCCTCTCCTCGCCCCGTCGGAACGGCGACCACATCACGTCCCCTCCTTTCCCATGTTTTCTCTGACTGCCCCTAGAGGGCGCCAACACATTCCGGCCGTCCGGCCGCCAGCCCTCACCAGAACGTGGGCTACGTCACCCATGGTTGTTTTAAATGTTTTTTTTTTTGTTATTTTTTGTTTTTTTCCGCAATGGTGAACGATAAAGGAAATGTAAAAAACAAAGATCCGAATTTGGAAATAGCCAAACATTTGAATGGGCAGATTCCCAGCCTTCGACACCTGGCATACAATTTAAGTCGATCATTCCGCTAGTCGCACTCTTCCACCATGATTTTGGATGACCGTGATTAAAACATCACAGGCACCATATTTTCAATCACCAAGAGTTACTCCGACGCACTTATTTTGTTTCTGGCGACCACCACCAAGGTGTTATTTCCGGCTTCTGGTTGGCCACATTCGAACTTGTGAAGACGCCCTGGAACACGCCCAGCCCGCTTACAGCCAATGATGCCTTCTCATTTGCCTACTGTACTTCCCAATGAATGGCCCAACTCTCTCTATATACCTAGTAACCCTGGAGCAAAAGTGCAACGAGCTCGCCTGCCTACTTGCTTTAACTCTCTCTATATATGCCTCTGGCTATTGGCGACTCCAGCGAAATTGTTGCCGCGTAGCGGCAATGCTGAAAACTCAGGAGAGGAGTTCTTTTCGACTGTCGTCCGCTATGGCTGCTTGGTTCCCTAGGCAGCATAGAAACAATCATCATTTCCAGTAATTATTTTTATGCTTCTGCCGTGTCATTCCTACGCACTGAATAGAAAAAGGTTTGTAGCGTCGAAAAATCGCTTTGCTTTCATATGTAACACTGATTTTACGCTGCAGTGCAAGAAATTTGTGGTGGTCCGCGTGCTGAACGACGAAAATGACCTCCTTTCGTCTGCCATTTTACCTGACCAGCGCGCACCCTTTAGTTCGCTGGAGTTGCGAATACCCCCTATAACGAACGGTAGCTTGCACCCCCTAGCATACAAGTCAATGAATCAGTGTTGCCAATACAAAGTTGCAAACTGGTGAGATACAGCTCAAACAAAAACAATTTACTTTTTTTTTTTTTTTTTTTGCACAAGATACGAGTTATTTTACAAATATTGCTGTCACTACGATAACAGTCAGAAAGCAATGAAAAGCGGGCACCTTGCGATAAAATCGTAAAACTTGGCAGGTATGATTTATCCTATGAAGCATTCTTTACCCATAAATAGAATTCCGTGTTTTTTAAGTTTATTTCTCGCGAAAGTCAAAAAATGTTTTTCCGAGTTTATTTTTTGTCGTAAATTTAGAGTTTATCGGAGTTTATTTACGATAGATGGCAGATTCTCCAAAATCCCGAGTTTCAATTCGCTGTGTTCCCAATGTTTCAAACTTCAATATAAAAACAAATATTATCTAGACACAAACCTGCCCCAAATTTATAAGAATTCAGCTGTGTCAAATGATATTTTTTCATCTAGATTGGGCATGGTGCCCTTGCCATTCGTAATACTAACTGTCCCACAACAAAAACTTTCACTGAAATCCTTGACATAGCCTCTGCAAAGCTCTTTTTCTTCCCATTCCACCGCTTTGTCCTGCAGATAGAACCTTTTGCTATCTGCCTCCCTCCTATGATCACAGCTTTCACTTTTATAACAAACACAACTCCACATCCCTCTAAGACATCCAAATTGAAAACTAGAACAGTGGCTTTTGTCGTGACCCGAAATAACGATGACCCTTTGTCCTGAACAAAACTTGGCAAGAGAAACAGTAAACCCCATTTTGTCGACAGCCCCAGATTGAAAGGAAACTGGAGAGGCCTCTCCTCAGGACCACAGACCCTAAGCAAACTTATTTGTAATATATTGTTTTGTTTTCTTTTTTTCTTGCCATTGTGGCATTGAAATTTTGAGTTTTCCAGATAAATTTGAATTGACAAAAATTTTACCAGCGAGTGTTTTTCAGATTTTATCAGATTTATTTGAAAACATGGAACCCTACCCATAAATAAAAAATTCTGCAGATTAAGCAATATTTTTTTTTTCCCCTTATATGTGAACTTTTACTTTTGCACCCTTGCCCCAGAATGTTTTCCTCAGGTGTGGAAATGCCACGGTTGAGCATTCAAGGGATGTAAATGCACGGAAGTGAGCCGAATCTTACGAGCCCTTTTGGGCTGGTCACCTACCTTGATGGGGTCGGTGCTGAATTTGACCCGTGAGCTGTGGCGCAGTGGAGGAGCGGGAAACTGGCAGTTCTCCACGCACTCTTCCTCGTCACTCGTCAGGCCCGGCTGCTCCGTAAAGAAGTGGCCGTCCGGCAAGACGTGGTAAGACACACCCTCTTCCTCCACCACCACCACACTGGCTAGCCGACCGGTGCCCTCTTCCTCCGACGCCACATCCACAGTGGGCGACGGCGTGCGCAGCACCAGAAGACGCCGCACCTCTTGGGCCTCTTCGTCACTCAAGATCTCTTGCTGTCGGCTGGAATGAGAGATTGAAGGAAGACGCGTCAATCTCTCGGACCTTCCACCCACGCAGCTGGGAAATGGCCCCACTCTAGCAACCTCCACATGCCTCAAAGCTGCCCTGCACATAATGGTTTAATCCATTGCTCGGCTTTCTGTTCATGCTAAAAGCACAGCACTCAGCGATTAGCCAAGACGTGATGGTTGCACTTAGTTGCACTTTACTCATACAGGTATCAAAATCTAGACCTTGTTGGTTGCAACCCAAGTTGGTGCCAAAAAAAGTGGACTGGTAGTTTGGATGTGGTAATTTCAGCTGAGTCTGTGTGGGAAACGAAAAGTGGGAAACACCAGTGGTCAAATGTTCAGACTGACTGTGTCGCGTTCCGCACGTGATGAAGTCCAGCTGGAATCTACTCCATTTTCATACTCGTTTCTATACTTTGGTTGGGAACTTCACTGGGATTTTCACGAACAGCAAAATTTCCTTTGTTTTTTAACCCTCGGAAAAGCTGTATGTAATTGCAGGGGTGGAAATGCTAATAGGCAGACTAGGCAGCTGCTTAGGGCGGCAGGATTTGGGGACGGCAAATTTCTGAGGGTGGCTTTAGTGATGCCTATTCTCGGCAACCTAGAGCCTTGTTATGCAAGACAAGAGGGAAAAAAGACTGGTATTTTATGTCTCTGGGACGAACTGGCATGACAAAATACTTGGATTCCACACAAAATAATGCAATTAACCAAAAAAAAAAAACTATCTAGCTTTTTAAAGTGCAGTCCTGTGTGCCTCTGTCACCTGTTTTGATGAGCAGTAGCAACCACAGAATCCAGTTTTTAAAGTAAGGCGAAACAAGACTTCCCACATCAAATATGAAACAGCGCAGTGCGTCCACTTATCTTGACAGCGTCGGAGATCGAAGGGTTACTAAAAACATTTTGAAGAGAATGAGGGTATTGAAAAAGAAAAAAAAAAGGGGGAAGAGAGAATGCACTGTTGGAATGCTTGCTTGCCATAGACACTCCATTTTGTTCCATGTACTTCAGCTGCATTTGTGTCCTTGCTCAAAGTAGTAGGGTAGTAATTTTTTCATTCTTTTTCTAATTTGTGTTGTGTTGAATATTGGAAACACAAGCAGGAAAAATCCACTCCTCTGGATTCAGTTCTAATTTAAACATACAGTTGGCATGTAACCTCTATGAAGGAAGCACAGATCATGCGAGGTGGAGCATCGTCAAAGTAAATCGAAATTATGTAGTGTCATTGATTTTCACAAGATGCCCTTCATTTTAAAGTCATTCCGGTGTCTATAAAGAGACTCCCAAGTAAAATTCACCTACAAAAAAGCTTATTTTTAAATGAACAAAACTGTTATACTTCTCCTACTGCAGCCAATTAAGTCTGCTTCCAACACTGGAAGAGTAAAAATAATTTCAAGCTCAACCCCAAAAGATATGAATGATGAGCCCACCCAGAGCAGTTCCCAAATCAATAGAAAGGAGTCTATGCAAGCCATTTTGTGCATTCCAGTACAGAACTCTGAAGAACCCACCTGGAACTAAGCAACTTGTCAGCCTCCTCCTGGGTCATGAACTCTACACCACTCCCATCCACCTGTGCGTCTAAGTTGATTTCTCCAAATGGATCACCCTGCAACAAGTCAAGACAAGTGAAATTCCACAAAGTCCCTTTCTTTCATCCCCAATTGCCTTTCCCTCTCTTTGAAGGTAGTAGGCCAACCTTTATATCACAAATTATTTAAACATATAAATTTGATTGTTTTTTTATATGGAATTTATTATAGAAATATTATCTGCTATTCAAAGGTACAGTCAGCAGCAATGTAAGGTGGCCCAGTTTAGCGCTAGCTAAAAGGGTAAAATGCTGTGTGGCATGCCTCATGCATGCTAAGCTATAAAACTGACTGCTACATTGCAACAATAGATGTGGCAATCCATTCCACTCTTGTTTTAACAGCTTAACATACCGGGGGCTACTCGCATGGCTTTTGTGCATAAGTAAACAAAAGTTAACTTATGAACCACCAAAAACAATTTTTTTTTACCCATTTCTTTTATCGTCGGATGAGAGTGCAATGTGCTCAAACACTCATCCACAAGTGCACATGGAGGAGTAATTCTATATAAGATTTTTTTATTTTTTATTTATTTTATTTTGAACAGCTATTTATTTTGAGATAGGCATGTAAATTTGTAAATTTACATGCCTATCTCCTAGAAGAAATCAACATTTTCATATCTTTAAAACTTTTCAACCCTATATAATATGTCTCCGCAATAGAAAAAAATAAGACATTTTCACCTTTTGATTATAATGCAATTAAATGCAAAGGTGCAAGCGACCTGGACGAGAATAACAAAAATAATCCCTGGAGAAGGGGAACAAGAGGGACAAAGGACAAACACAAATCACCAAACACAGCTAGGCGATTGGTGAACAACCGAAAAAATTCGCCTCGTCCGGGCATCGAACCCGGGATTTCTCCACTGGAAATGGAGAGGTCCCGGGTTCCATACCCGGACCAGGCGGATTTTTTCGGTCGCTCACCAGTCACCTAGCTATGTTTGGAGATTTGTGTTTGTCCTTTGTCCCTCTGGTTCCCCTTCTCCAGGGATTATTTTCGACATTTTCACCACCTCTTTTGCGAGAGAAAATTGCACGCCAACCATGTGACAAACCAGGCTATATTAAAGGAGCTCTCTCAACATCTCCTCCCTAAACCTCTGTAATACCAGCCACGAAGAGCAGTGTGCCGAAAGTCATGTCTAAACTCAGACTTTAACTTTGTTTAGACGTTTCACTCCTAGCCTTCAATGGATCGGTCGCGTGAGCGGAACCGCGATTATAGCCCGACCTAGATTCAATGTCCAAAACATGGTGTTTGAGAAGAAAAAAAAAAAAAATCCCCGAAGCAGTTGTGAACAACAAATGTGATTGCGCCAAATGACGACTATAGTACTAGAGTGTTCATTATTTTTCACAATATTAGTATTGTTCCTCTGCGGGCGGATCTTGTAGTGGCTACAGTCGGCTTGAGTCTGCGCTTGCCGCTCTTGAAGCTGTTCCAGTTGCAGAAGGATACTCCAACTTGCAGCACGCTGCTATAAAGTATTCCCAGCATAATTGAGTATGTTCCATGTGACACTAGTTCTCTCGTCACGCCGCTCGCTCGAAAACACCTTGACACAGCTAGCCTCCACTACTGCCAGGGAGCGCATTTGTTTCTCCCACAAAACCAAGGGTAAAAAAGAAGCTTTGCCCGGCACAGTTCCTACAATCTACCGAGGAGCACAGATTGCTACCCACTGCAGACTCTTTCAACCCTGAATCTATGGAAAAAATATCTCAATCACTAGCGCCTGGAAAGCCGCCGCGCGGCTACCCAGGTCGCTCGTCCGCCTGCCCGTCACTGACGTAGACGGAGAAGTAGGGATTTTTCATTGTTGCCAGTAAAGAGTCGCCTCCTGGAATCCTCGCGTCCGGCGGAACTTGAAAATTAAATAACTTCATGAAAAATTTTTATTTTTATAAATTATTTTGGCTATCAGTTGAGAAAGGGCTATTGATGTGGTCTGCCAATTTCCAGCCAAATCGAAGACTACAAAAAGATTGGCAGAGTTCCCCTTTAAGACCACCAGGTTAACAGTCATTAGGCACTAGCCAAACTACCCTTAAACAACAGAGACAAAAGGCACAATTTTAAAGCAGACTGATTTGCTGCTGCCTAAACATTCATACAACTTTTGACAGCCTCAATCTTTGAAATTTGTCCAGAGATGGCATTGTCAACAAGCACTTCATAGAACATAAAAATGAAAGCACAGTTCGCACCTTGTATGAGTGGGAATTTATGACTGCTTCCACGTTGAACAGCTCATGCTCGCGATTCTCAAGTTCAGCTAGCGTTTCCCCAGCAGCATGCTTCAAGCTGCTGTTTTCACCATATTTGTCATGGCAGACATTGTCCTGAATAAACAAACAAAGTCAATCATAACACCTTTCAATAAAATAATGAGGCATAAATGTGGCAAAAAAACTGCGGTAAAAGAGTATATAAATATTGCAAAAATTACTAAATTAATCTGCAGGCTAATGCACAAAACAGGAGCTGAGGTGCATGCGAAACCTTGCTCTTGATTTTTTTTTTGTTGCCTTTAGTTAGCATCCACCCCTATGTACAATTATTGTCCCAGCATGGCAAACACTTGCTCAGTGTTTCACAGGATATATTAGTAGGCAAGATTTTTATAAAAATGTACTCCTGACAGTCAGCACAAGCTGAAGTGAAGGTGAAATGCAAACCATACAATACCTGTTGCAAAAGCATAGGGGACCTTCCAGAAGCAGCTGCCAATGTGTACAGAAGGACACTGTTAGAAGATGGTTCACTGATGCCATTGTGACCCACATATTCCTGCTGTGGCCAATGGGGCACGTCTTCAGTGTCCCCCACAGAACCTGTAGTGCAAGAACATCAAAAGCTATCAGATTACAGTCACAAAGAGAACAAATAAAATTGCTGCATACCAACGATTCCTAATTTACCAAGGCTACAAAAGTAGCCTTGGTAACGTTACGAGTTTCACAGCAGGTCGAAGTAGACTAAATCACTGCATGGGCTTGGGTCTATCCAAAAACTCAAGCCCGGACGGCCCGCTACACACTATTTCCGGGGCAGGGCTCGAACCAAGTAGGTCACATCTTACCCCAGCATGGGCTGGGCTCCTACTGAAATTTTTTTTCTCTGGATCAGGCCGGACTTGAACAAGTATGTCGCCGAGACCAGGCTTGGGAAGTAACTGGTTACAAGTAGGGCTGGGCGTCGATTAAAAATTTTAACCCGATTAATCGGCACCCTTTAATCGATTGATCAAGTTCGTTCATCCCCATGCATAATTGTTAAAAAAAAGTCAAAATTACATGGGTTGCCCTTGCTGAATATGTGATAAAGGGCGCAATGTATAATTTAGGATTTTAAATCCAATTTTAAGTGTATTTGAGAACAGTAAAAAGACACCCACACTCAGATACTATTATTACTGCAGCTGCAGAAGCAAAGAGGTTTATTGATATTCTCTGGCAATAAGGAACTCCCTTAATTGTTCACAACAGTCTCGGCTGCGCTAAACGGACATTCGCACGGCGTTGAAGTGGCTGGGACACGTATAGCATTCTTTACTTGTTTGGAGTTACAAATCTCGCCTCTAAAGTTTAATTTCGGTCAAAATTTGACCTAATGTTTCCCTTCATATGGGTATACTTGTCCACGTCTGCGTGATGAAAGCGGATCATTTTTATTTGTTAGTCAAAATTTAATTGGTCAACGGTTTTAAAAAAAGTTAATCATAATTAAAGCATTAATTGATTAAGTACCCAGCCCTAGTTACCAGTAATGTGTTACTGGTAACTAGTTACTTTTTTCAGTAACTTGTAACTGTAATGCAACATCTTTAGTGACAGTAACTTGTAACTGCAACAGTGTTACTTAAAAAAAAAGTAGTGTAGAAAGAAATGCTATTATTGGGAAGAAGATCCAGCCACTGCGCCCGAGCAGCTAACTTTAGAACTACACCCGTGAGGACAACAACAATGACGCAGCACTCGGCTGCCATAGCCGAACGCTGCATCAGCATTCGGCTGGGGCTCGTATTCTTCTGTCGCAGGAGGAGGGGCTTTTCTGTAGCCACTCCGGCCTGCGTGAACAATGCAGCATGCACCATGCATCTGTCCACCACCTGCTCAGCACAAAGGCCAAAGTGGGCCAAGCTCGCATCCCGCCAACATCACTCCATCTTGTTGTCAACACTTCTTACACTACACCGTGCCTTGCGTTTTATTGAAGATGGCACAAAGAATCGAGTCTACAGGCCTTGTGTTGGGTAAATTTCAAGCTCTGGGGAGAACAAGCTGGACAGAACGCCCTCTATAGTTTGATTTCCTTACCCATAGGTAATATTCCCTTCATTCCCAACATCTCGCAACTGGGTCTCAGCAAAAATATTGCAAATACAACCACCCACTCGTCTTGCCACTCGTGATTTAAGACAGGATACAGGAAAGGCACCGCAAAAGACAGCTGCATTAACCTTCTGGAGAAAAAGGGCTAGATACAACGAGACAGTGGATAATTTTATAAAATAAAAAAATAATTTTAAAATTTGGAGTAACGTTAGGCCAAGCTGCTCTAGTCAACTGGGGGGTTGGAGACCACCATGTCCATGTCAGTGTATTGTACATCACCTAACTGTCCGCGGAAAGGGAACACGGTGTGGAAAGGGCCCTTTTCTTCATCTGATTGAGGGCGCCTTTTGAGGAGGACAGCTTTTGGTGTTTGTCACCCCAAATACCTTTAGGCTTGAGGTACCTACTTAGGCCTCCAAACTTCGTCTTTTCCCTCTTTGCATCCCACTCCTTTTATTTGGACCGTTCAACTGCTATAGTCGGTTACAAGTCAAGAAGGTAGGAGAAGCTCCTCCCACAAGCGTGATGCGCCCGTTTCAAATCCCTCCACAGTCGAAAGAAGAGTTTGCTGGAAACGCTCCTTGTTCCGCTTCAATGGATAGATATTAGCTACAGAGTGAGGCCAACCTGTCTCCGATCCCACTTTTTAAAAAAGCGACCTTTGTATTCATCAAAGGGGGATCCGAGCTCCTGAAAGCAGCCTTTGTATCCATCGGAGGGGGAACCTAATTTCCGAAAGTCGTATTTGTATCTATCGCAGGGGGAAAACTCTAATCTCCCAGTCGTGGCTTCCACAATGTTAAGTCAAAGTCGAAAGATAAAGCAAATATGTACAGGAAGGCAAGACCCTCCTCACGCGTTGGCCGCGACGTCACGGAAACGATGGGACGCTATTGGATGCGGAGGTGGCGAGGTATATGTGATTCCCTTTGAGGGGCATTTGCCGCTACCTTCTTGACCTGTAACTTACCATAGATGCATTCACGCGGGGTTCCCAATTTTCCTAGTACTTATCTAGCATTTTTCTTCCTTTTTTTTTTTTTTTTTTTTTACGACTTAATTACCCCCCAGCCAGTGTCTCCTCTCTTTGTCAACCACCCGCTATTAAGCATCTCTCCGAGTCCCAAGTCTCTTCACTCGATAAAGGGCAATTGCTCAAAACCTCTTCTATTTCTTGTTTCCCTGTGTCATTCTTTTTTTGTTGAAAATAAAAACAGATTGCCCTTTGCTGGAAGGTCTTCACCGAGCCAATTGATCACAACAGCCAACTGGAATTTTACACACAGTGGCCATTTGTTCCTCGATCCGTGCCTCGTTTACACCGCTACTATAAAGTGCCAAGCATGTTTGAGGGAGCAATTTTGACATCATATTGCTCCGAGTTTTTAAAGGGTAACTGCAAAGAAAAAAGTGTATTTTTAAACAGCCTAATTGGGACAAGCATGTCACAAAATAATTTTTCTGCCAAACGCAAATATGTTTACAGCAATATTTATTGCGCGATACTGATTTCAGTTTGCGGCTATTTTGTATGTTTTAAATCGCGCGCCACAAGGTTGGTATTATACGTCATGTCTGCTATACACTCCGTGCGGGAACTATAGGGGGCGCTTTGAAAAACGCGCGCAGCGCCGCTAGCGGAGGAGCTGGCGTTCGACTGTGAGGCGCGTTCAGCAGCCTGCGGCGCCTTTTCGCATGCCAAACTGTGGAGGCGGAAGCGCGCGCGGACGAAACTTTTGCTTTTTGAGCCGATAAGTTGAGGGTGACGTTGCATGAGTGCTGGGGTAGACCTAAGAAGGGAATCTAGCTGTTCTCCACTTCTTATATATTGAGTTTGAGTCGTTATTAGGGGTAATTTCCCTAGTTGCGGCCGAAAAAGGAGTTGGAGCAATTTTCTGAAAAACAAGACGGCCGCCACCTTAATGGACTTCTTCCAAAACCGACGCGCCCCAACGCGGCGAAATACCACGCAGTGCACTCTGGGAACTAGTTGGCCACTCAGTTTCGGTTTCGACTGAGCAGCTTCATCTCATGCTATCACGCCACGACCGAACGCGCTGCTTGCGTTTTCGATTAATCTGACTTTTCACGAACGTACAATACACTCATTCTCGAGCGATACAAAACGAAGACCGGGGCACTTTCCTTGGTCCCCGAAACACCGGATATTGTGCGTGCGTATGCAAACGTAGTAAGTCGTTTCTTAGTCACCTCACCCCACGAGTGCATGTCCGAGCTCAATTTCAATAATCCCGTCTAGTACCAGTCAACTAGAACTGAAATTTGTTCATCTGGAGCGTTACACGTATTTTTTTTTGCCAAACGTCCGCTTCTTACTTCATTGGGCGAAAAGCAAGCCGCATCCTTACAGGGTATCAAAGTTGAGCCCAGCGTTTACGCATGAACTTTTAAGGAAACGCAATAAATTCGACCTCACTACTGAACAAAAGTTACTATGATGTCTTCCTCGTGTCATCACATAACTCACACTCAAATTTTATGCTGATAGAAGATTAACTTTTCGCAAACGCTGAGATCGGCTAGCTATGATAGAGGCCCTAACAAACGTCCCCTACTCCTCGCTAAGCCTCTTTGGACGAGCTTTTACTGACGCCCAAGATCTGTGCCTGAACGGTGTGTCTGAAATTATCTCGGCATACTCAGGCAGGAAGAAAGCAAACACATAACAAATATTATGGCCATTAGCAACCGTCAAATGCGCTTTGAATTCTTTCGTTTGGCGCACTGCATAGGGGTTCATGCCCGTCCGGCGCACTTCCGGTGAACGGTGCGACATTCTTCACACAAGTGCTCGACTTTTGCTTTCTTAAAACGGTCTGTATGTGCGAATTTGCCTTTATGATTGCAGGATAACTTTATGCGCATACGCGATGTTGAATATAAGTGGAATGGAAGCGGGTGGGGACCACTTTGTACAGTGCTGCGGGTCACTACAGATAAGAGATAAGAAGTGTGTTAAAATTGAGCTTTTCAATGGCGCCTCCGAGTTTTACCTCGCATACTCAGGCATATAAAGAAAACCAGTAATTGCAAAAAGTAATATTTCGTCTATGGGCGCACGAAAAAAAAAAAAAAAAACTTCCTGATAAACAACACTAATGTAAAGGCGCGAGCTCGATGTATGCATACTTATTGGTTGCCACAGCTTGTTCATTCGCGCACAAGCAAGATCCCCGAGCTTCGCAGCGTCGAGACTCCCAGCACTGGCTCGTCCACATACCTCGATTGGAACGCTAACAGGAAGGCTCAAGTACAAAAATACAACAAGCATCTGTTAAGACAAGCTATACGTCTCAGGCTTGTGCTAAAGCTTCGAGGTCTGGCCATTTAGGTTAGTTTAGAGACCAAAAATGACGCGCTCGGGACCAGAAAACATGAAAACACGCTGTGTGTATAATCTATTGTCGACGTGTCGATCGAAACCGAAACCGTGCCACCCTCCTCCCTGGCCAACTAGTTCCCAGAGTGCAACGCGC